CATGCCTGCCATGCAAGGCAGATTTGTTTAGAACCAGATATCTGATCCTTGTTTTTGTCCTTGGGAACAATAGCAGCTTCAGAAATTGAGGCAGAGGAACAACAATACCAGAATCTTGTGACTGGGTGATGATCGTGGAGCTGTGGGGGTGGTTCTAGGACAACTCCCATTCAGTTTGAGATGTTCAGGATGGGATGTGACACTCTGCAACATTCTCTCGTTAAACCAGAATCTGGAAAGGTTACATTTTTAGGTTGAACACCCCTAGCCATTTGGCACGATGCTGAGCACAGTGGTGGGAGGGAGGAGGATTCTGGAAAATTAACTGGGGAGAAAGGCTCTGGGCATTATTACAGCCAGAGCTCACTGAGTTTAACATTAAATTACATTTCTGCAACTTTAAAGCAGTTATGTGGTCTTTTAATTTTTTTATGCATCCTTTAAACATATCTGCTGGGCCCTACAGATTCTGCTAGGTTCCGGGTTTCACATATTTCAGGAGTATTTGGGTTTTCCTGCATGGCAGGGTGGGATTACAATGACCCCTTTGGACTCTTCCTAGTCCGTGATCTTATGATTTGGTACAATTGGGATGTTGACAATTTCAACAGAAAGGAGGAAACGATGAAAATGAACAAAATCTGGTTACCAGTATTAAAAAACTCTAAAATTACAACAGCAAAACAACAGAGAGGAAACAATCAGGGACATCTAATCACCTCTCAACAAAAGATTGCCCCAGGCACTGCCAGGCCATCAAATGCTAATCAAGGTGGTCAGTTGAAACATTCACACCTAGCTCCAGCAGACAAGAGTCCTTTGTCCCACCCTGGTCATTCCACAGATATATAAACCCTTTTTCCTAGTTCCAGCAGACCTCACTACCTCTGAGGATGCTTGCCATGGTTAGACCACACCTGGAATATTGTGTCCAATTTTGGGCACCACAATTGAAGAGAGATATTGACAAGCTGGAATGTGTCCAGAGGAGGCGACTAAAATGATCAAGGGCTGGAGAACAAGCCCTATGAGGAGCGGCCAAGAGCTGGGCATGTTTAGCCTGAAGAAAGAAGGCTGAGAGGAGACATGATGCCATGTATAAATATGTGAGGAAGCAGAGGAGGGAGCAAGCTTGTTTTCTGCTTCCTTGGAGACTAGGACGCGGAACAATGGCTTCAAACTACAAGAGAGGAGATTCCATCTGAACATGAGGAAGAACTTCCTACTGTGAGAGCCGTTCAGCAGTGGAACTCTCTGCCCCGGAGTGTGGTGGAGGCTTCTTCTTTGGAAGCTTTTAAACAGAGGCTGGATGGCCATCTGTCAGGGGTGATTTGAATGCAATATTCCTGCTTCTTGGCAGGGGGTTGGACTGGATGGCCCATGAGATCTCTTCCAACTCTTTGATTCTATGATTCTATGATTCTAGGCGCAACGTCAGGAGAGAATGCCTTTAGAACATGGCCATATAGCCCGAAAATCCTACAACAACCCAGTGATTCCAGCCATGAAAGCCTTCAACAATAAATTGGGATGCTGTTGCGAGATTCTGTTGTGTGTTGTTGTAACTGCTTCATGTTCACATTTATGATTGTGGTACCATTGTCATGATTGCAAATATCCTTGAAACTCAGCTTGTAATCCATTCAGCTGTCTTGAGTGATATAGTTCTGGAATGCTGGCAAGTGAGGAGTTGCAGGATAGACAGCTAGCCATTAGTGAGCAGTGGGACAAGGTACAGAAACTCTTGTCATAAATCTCTGTCCTACTTTTGCTCACTGGAAAAAGCAGGATCCATATGTTATTGTTCAGTGTTGCACTTTCCAGCAACACGGAATGGCCGCTTGACATTCAAGGTGGGTTTCGGGGGTTTTATCAGGAGAGCCATTGCAGTTCCGATGCTGTAGCTCTACTTCCAATGCAGGATTACAACTATTTTTTTCTACTAATTCTACAATCTGTATTATTTTAGATACAGATCACCTTTACTTATTCTATAGGTTAAGGATTAAGGTTCAAATGGTTGAAAGACAGATCCCAATCTTTTTTTAAGCTTTCAAATGCAAAACTCGATTGTAATAAATGAACTTGGAGAAAAATAACAGTAGTAGTGTTGAAGGCTTTTCTGGCTGGAATCATTGGGTTGTTGTAGGTTTTTTCGGGCTATATTTTACAAAATTACAACAGCAAAACAACAGAGAGGAAACGATCAGGACAGCTAATCAGCTCTCAACAAAAGAGTCCCCCAGGCACTAACAAGCCACACAAAAAAACTGCCAGGCCATCAAATGCTAATCAAGGTGGTCAGTTGAAACATTCACACCTAGCTCCAGCAGACAAGAGTCCTTTGTCCCACCCTATTCATTCCACAGATATAAAAACCCCTTTCCCTAGTTCCAACAGACCTCACTACCTCTGAGGATGCTTGCCATAGATGCAGGCGAAACGTCAAGAGAAAATGCCTCTAGAACATGGCCATATAGCCCAAAAAAACCTACAACAACCCAACAACAGTAGGAGGAAAGGAAGCAGTGTGTGGTCCAAAGTGTGGACACAAGATTGCTGCTTTTCTGTGCTTTTAAGTAATTTCCAACATATGGTGACCCTAAGGGAAACCTATCATGGTCTTTTCTGAGGCTAGGAGTATAAATTAAATCTGTTGAAAGAGTGAGTTTTTGGGAAGTCTGTGTTTGCATTGTTTGGCCATAGGGTGAAGCAGGTAACTATGAAGACTGAAATTTGACCAGTGTCCAGTGGAAATGCTATACTTGGAGACTGAAAAAGAAAGTGTTGCATGGTTGAAAGTGTGGTTTGTTGTTGTGTGCTTTCAAGTTATTTCCAAATTGTGGTGATCCTAATGCGAACCTGTTATGGGGTTTTCTGAAACCAACAGTATAAATGAGATCTGTTGAAAAGTGACGTTTTGGGAAGGCTCTATTTCCTTCTTATTTGATCACCGTCATCATCATCATAGAAAGAAGCAGTGGCTATGTCAGATTCTGAAATCTGAAATCTGGACAGCTGCCATTTCCAAGTCAATCATTAGTAATAAGGGTTACAAAACAAACAAACAAACAAACAAACAAAAAAACCCAAAAACAAACAAACAAAAAAACCAAACAAACCCCTGAACATTCAAACTGAGGAATTTGAGTTCTCAGAACCCATATAAGAAAACTATACCGGTTCAAACCAAAGTGCTTTAACCCAACATTTTATATTACATGTAATATAACTAATAATATTACAATATAATGATATAGTACAATATAGTAATATATAATACTGATATTGTGCTATGCTAATAATATAATACATTGTATGTATATATATCTTGTAAGCCACCCTGAGTCCCCTTCGGGGTGAGAAGGGAGGCATATAAAGGCCGCAAATAAATAAATAAACAAACAAACATTTGGGAAGCGTGAGCTAAATAAAACCATTAACATACAGTTCAGAATATTTTATGAAAACCTTTTGTTTCTTTTTCTATTTCAGATTTTGGTGTTAGTGCTTTTTTAGCCACTGGTGGAGACATCACTCGAAACAAAGTGAGGAAAACCTTTGTGGGCACACCTTGTTGGATGGCACCTGAAGTGATGGAGCAGGTAAGAAGAAACAAAAAGGCCTGGAAATGAGGATAATTTTCAACAAGTGGTTCACTGGCCTCAGGTGCCTTTGACTTTCTGGCCTGCCTGTTTTTTTGAAGCCATTTTATTATTATTTTAAGAGCAGCAAATCTCTGTTGGCAGGAGGAGATAGTGGTTAGGAAGAATAAAAAGGGTTTGGAAGAGGAGATGAAAAATCATACATGAATGCAAGTCGTTGGATAGAGGAGAGATTAAAATATCCATAATTAGTGAAGAAGGAAAACATTTAAAAGAGACTAGTTATGAATCTGAAAAGAATTTCCTCTTGCGTTACATTCTGGGGCTTGTAAAGAAAGAAAAAGATTTGAAGGAATAAGTGAGAGCCCAAGAGAAACAATAAAACTATAAACATGATGGGAAACAGTCATGTATACTTCCAAGGCTGGTTCTACTTGGTGGAATAGATATCGGAAATATCTGCTCAAAGGATATTGTTGTAGTCGAGTGTTCTGAGCAAGCTACAACGAGTAGTAGAAGGGCAAAGAGGGCTGCTCAGGTGTTGGATCAAGAGCAGCAAAGAAAGCGAATTAGGGAAAGACAGATATTGTATTTGTTAAAACTTTTCCACATTTTGCTGCACCCTGGGTCATCATAAATTGGCACAGTTCACCCAAATACATCATTAGGCTTTGCTCTGTAGTTATTTGGCAGCAAACTTTGTTTTGTCACTATGTATTTGCACTAGCTGTAGCAAATCGCATCCCTGAAATTCAAAATGAAAGTTTTAAATGCACATTTGTCTCATTCATATATTACATTTGTGGGGCATTTGTGAATCAGTTCATAGATGTGTCCAAGAGAGTTTAAAATATGGGGATTTTTGGAGATGCAGATCATTTACTTCTCTATAGTTCAGAGTTTCTCAACCTGGGGGTCGAGATCTCTGGAGAGGTCTCGAGGGGGTTACAGTGGGGTCACCAAAGACCATCAGAAAAAATATATTTCTGCTGGTCTTAGGAACCCCTTTGGCAGAAAAAGCTAAAGATCTCTCCGCCTTTTTGGAAACAGACTACGAATTATCTCACCAAAACCCCTCCTCTGCTGTGATTGGCTGGCCTCTCAGCCAAGGAGAGGGCTTTTCCTGAAACTCCAAGTGAGGAGGGGAGAGCAGGTGTGCTTGGCGCATGGCAGCGTGGTAGCAGCGTGGAGGGAGGCTTACTCCAGTGAGTCCTTTCAAGGCATGGGGGTTGTGCGTAGGAAGTTTGGCCCAATTCTGTTGTTGGTGGGGTCCAGAATGCTCTTTGTTTGTAGATGAACTATAAATCCCAGCAACTACAACTCCCAAATGTCAAGGTCTATTTCCCCCAAACTCTACCAGTGTTCATATTTGGGCACATTGAGTATTCATGCCAAGTTTGGTCTAGATCCATCATTGTTTGAGCCCACAGTGCTCTCTGGTGTAGGTGAACTACAACTCCAAAACTCAAAGTCAATGCCCATCAAACCCTTGCAGTATTTTCTGGTGGTCATGGGAGTTCTGTGTGCCAAGTTTGGTCCAATTCCATCGTTGGTGGAGTTCAGAATGCTCCTTGATTGTAGGTTAACTATAAATCCCAGCAAATACAACTCCCAAATAACAAATATTCAAATATGGTCGTCTTGGGTATTTGTGCCAAATTTGGTCCAGTGAATGAAAATACATCCTGCATATCAGATATTTACAGTACAATTCACAACAGTAGCAAAATTACAGTTATGAAGTAGCAACGAAAATAATGTTACAGTGGGGGTCAACACAACATGAGGAACTGTATTAGGGGGTCGCGGCATTAAGAAGGTTGAGAACCATTGCTATAGCTCCAAGCCAAAATTGGAAAAATCCTGACCCATTTTGGCTGGGATTATAAAACACATAAAGACTGCATAACATATAAGTGCATTTATTTTTTAGAGTTGGGGGGGGGGATATTTTCTTGATGTTCAGGATAATATTTTCCATTCATAGTGCTGAATTTAAATACAATAAAATAATTGATATTCCTCCCAAAGTAATGTTGCGTTAGCAAAGCAATAGGCTCCTGACATGGTTGCAAATACTTTGATTTTCCACTGGCTTCAGAAGCAGTTAATTCTTCATTTAGGACCAAAGAAACTAGCAGTAGCTTAACACTCAATGAAGAGAAGACTTGGCGTCTTTTCTTTGCTGTTGAGAGAGAAAATCACAATTCCGTTCAAGATTCCAGGTAATAGTCTAATGCCAAAGAGGAAATGACTTCCTTGGAATATGAATTGTTGCCTAAAGTGAAGAAAGACAAGCTTTGATGTACGATCTAGACTGTTGTGAGCAGTTGCTGGAGCAGTTGTTGGGACAGATGGATAAGGCAGGAGATGGATAGCTTGAGACTCTGGATAACGGATGAGGAATGCACTGTTAATAATTTGTAATTTTCCAGGTCAGAGGCTACGATTTCAAAGCAGACATCTGGAGTTTTGGGATCACGGCAATTGAGCTGGCGACAGGAGCGGCTCCTTACCACAAATATCCCCCCATGAAGGTCAGTTGAATTGATGGTCTGGCCCAAATAAGTGAGCCACCTTCTTGGAAGGACATTGTCCCCAAGTCAGTGGAAAATTGCAAGCGGAAACCGATGAAGGTTTCTGTTTTCTACACAAGCATTGGAGTCTGAATTTCAACAGAAAGAAAGGAAGTCAATAGCCAGAAAACGAAACCGATATCTGAATGAAATTACATAGAATCATAGAGTTGGAAGAGACCTGGTGCACCATCCAGTCCAATCCCCTGCCAAGCAGCAGGAAAATTGCATTCAAAGCACCCCCCGACAGATGGTCATCCAGCCTCTGCTTCAAAGCTTCCAAAGAAGGAGCCTCCACCACCCTCTGGGGCAGAGAGTTCTGTTGCTGAACAGCTCTCACAGTCAGAAAGGTCTTCCTAATGTTCAGGTGGAATTTCCTAGAGTTCGAAGCCATTGTTCCATGTCTTAGTCTCCAGGGCAGCAGAAAACAAGTTTGCTTCCTCCTCCCTATAACTTCCTTTAACATATTTATACATGTTGTTGTTCATTCGTTCAGTCGTCTCCGACTCTTCGTGACCTCATGGACCAGCCTATGCCAGAGCTCCCTGTCGGCCGTTACCACCCCCAGCTCCCTCAAGGTCAGTCCAGTCACTTCAAGGATGCCATCCATCCATCTTGCCCTTGGTCGGCCCCTCTTCCTTTTGCCTTCCACTTTCCCCAGCATAATTGTCTTCTCTAGGCTTTCCTGTCTCCTCATGATGTGGCCAAAGTATTTCAACTTTGTCTCTAGTATCTTTCCCTCCAGTGAGCAGTCGGGCTTTATTTCCTGGAGGATGGACTGGTTGGATCTTCGCAGTCCAAGGCACTCTCAGCACTTTCCTCCAACACCACAGCTCAAAGCATCGATCTTCCTTCGCTCAGCCTTCCCTAAGGTCCAGCTCTCACATCCGTAGGTGACTACAGGGAATACCATGGCTTTGACTAGGCGGATCTTTGTTGCCAGTCTGATGTCTCTACTCTTCACTATTTTATTGAGACTGGACATTGCTCTCCTCCCAAGAAGTAAGCGTCTTCTGATTTCCTGGCTACAGTCTGCATCTGCAGTAATCTTTGCACCTAGAAATACAAAGTCTGTCAAGGCCTCCACGGTTTCTCCCTCTATTTTCCAGTTGTCAATCATTCTTGTTGCCATAATCTTGGTTTTTTTGACGTTTAGCTGCAACCCGGCTTTTGCGCTTTCTTCTTTCACCTTGATTAGAAGGCTCCTCAGCTCCTCCTTGCTTCCGGCCATCAGAGTGGTGTCATTTATACATAGCTGTCCATAAACTACCCATTGGTTTCTCTCTCTGAGTAGATCAGTTATAGGAGTAATGATGGGATGTAAAATTTCCCTGAGAGAGGCACCCATGTACTTCACATCTTTTCTTGTAATATTTGCTTCTGGAGTACGCAACAGCTTGGTCCTTCTTTACCTTTTTGCTGTCTAGGCTCCTTTAAATAGCTAGCTTTAACAAAAATATACAGCGCAGTTAAATTCATAATGAAGAAAAATTAAATCAATAAACACGAGAAAAAATGATGAGGAATTATCTCATCTCCTTGCCCCATTTCCTCAAGCCCAACCAATCTGGGCCAATCCAAGCAGGCAGCGTTTCAAGAGTGTTCTTTCTCCTGTTCCATAAAACTGGAATCCGGTAGCATTAATAGGAGCGTTCCCCCAAATGACCTTAATTCCATCACTGAGGTTTGTTGTTCGTGGTGTTCTGGTTTCACCTGGCTGAGCTGGCCACTCACTATTTTTCCATCCTAACATTTCTATTTTTCTGTCTTGTACTTGAAAGACTACCTTTAAAAACTATTGTAACCCAAAGCCTGAGCACCATTTCATCTCTGTTTCTGAATTAATTGTTTTTACCGGGGTCTTGTTTCAAGTTTCCATTAAAACAACATTAAGGGAACAGGAATCAACACATATCCGGGGTCATAATGATGATCTTCCATAAGCTTGCAGCAAGACTCCAAGACCATTGTCTTCAAAACAGCATCTCCAAAATCCGAAATTGTCCGTATCGGTTGAGATAGTCACACCTTTGCTTCCATAGAATTACTGTCAGGCTAGGCATACAAGGCAGGCATGGGCAAACTTTGGCCCTCCAGGTGTTTTGGACTTCAACTCCCACAATTCCTAACAGCCGGTAGGCTGTTAGGAATTGTGGGGGTTAAAGTCCAAAATACCTGGAGGGCCAAAGTTTGCCCATGCCTGACATAATGTACAAGAGTTGAATGAAAAGTACTGCCTCCACCTTCGTAACTCCTCAACAGATGGCAGTACTAGTATGCGGCAGGTACTGGCTTGTTCAGTAGACTCTCCTCTACAGTTCCATTTTGGCAGAAGCCTTAGCATTGAAGGTTGTGTTGTTAAAGTGTGAAGTATGGAACCCTGCACAGATGGTCGGTCAGTGCGACTTAAGCAACGTGCAGTCATTGAATTCTTGACAGCAGAAGGTGTCACCCCAAAGGAGATTCAACAGAGTGTTGTAGCTCAGCTGGAGCCTCAGACAGAAGATGATGGGATTCAGATTCATGAAGATGTTCCTGTTTTTGAAGAAGACTCTGAGGAGATTCAATTTCCCATGGCAAGGAATGTTTCAGATGATGTTTCTGATGTTAGTGAAACTAGACAGGTGCAGATTGAGGAGGATGGCTCCCCGCCTGATGTTTCTCAGGCGCCTAACAAGCTATCCGACCTTGAGAGCTATGAAGATTTAGATAGGGAGGATCGCTTACAATTCAAAGTTCGCTGCAGTGCAAGGCTTGCTAACAAGAGGGAGGTTAGGGGTCAACGGAATGCGTTCATGCTGGGAAAGTATATTAAACAGGGTGTTTGAAGGGAAATCTTTGTCAGTGCAACTTCTGCGAACAACCTGGTAAATTCTTTGGATTGCCTTGGCTTTTGGGCAATGTTCTTGGCTTCCTGGGACTCTGTCTTGCTGTCATTGAATCTTGTTTGATCGATGTTCTTTGGATTATGCATCATGCTGTTTGCTATTGAACTTTTGAAACTTACTTTTGCGTTTAAGACTTTTCTTTTCTTCAATAAACTACAAAATCTTCAGCCTTTATGTGGTTTGGTGTTTGGAGCAAGGTGACTTTACTCTGAGCTGCGACACAGAGAATGCAAGCTGTTTATGGTGATTGTGTTGATGTGAATACTGTGTGCCATTGGGCGAGTAAGTTTAAAGATGTTGAGGTGGGAGCATCTGACTTGCGTGACAAACAAAGAGTTGGACGTCCTGTGACAGCAACCACCGAGTTTCACAAGCAAAAGGTTGACAGATTGATTCAGGACCATAGTCGTATCATCCAGAGAGAAATTTCAAGCATAATCGTCATTTCGCAAGAATGTGTGGGTTACATTATTGTTTTGCTTGGCTATCCGAAGATCTGTGCACAATGGGTTGAGGAAACAGAGTGTCGACTTCTTCCATGACGGCTTCAGAAAACTTGTTCATCATTGGCAGAAATGTATCCAATTGTCTAGTGATTGTGTGGAAAAGTGAATAGTGGTAGTTAAAGACCACATTCTAAGGATTATTTTTGCGTTTGATTTATTAAAATATTCCCATCCAAACCCAAGTAACGAAGGTGGAGGCATTACTTTTCATTCAACCCTCGTATATGTGAAACATTTATGAATTATGTGTGGGTCCCAATTCTCATGATGGATGTATACGCAAATACTGGTCTTCCAAAAATGCAAAATCCCAAAACATTTCTGGTAAATTTCAGATAAAGGATTCCCAATCTGTAGGTTTGTGTTTATGTCTTGAATGGATGTAATCCTCCCAGGTCTTAATGTTAACGCTGCAAAATGACCCACCTTCACTGGAGACAGGTGTACAAGACAAGGACATGTTGAAAAAGTACGGAAAGTCATTCAGGAAGATGATCTCATCATGCCTGCAAAAAGACCCCGAGAAAAGGTACAAGATATCTTGCTTTGTTGTTGTGCGCCTTTGAGTTATTTCTACTGTACGGGAGGAACCCTATTCAGAGGGTTGTCTCGAAAGGATTTGTTCAATGAGGGCTTGCTTTTGCCTTCCTCTAAAAGTAAGAGAGTGTGACTTGCCAAGGATCATTGGCTTCCATCTATTTAAAACAGAACTGCGTGGCACTTGAGATTAGTCACTGTCTTGTGAATTGATGGGTGTGTATCCTGTTGATGTGACAACATATTTGTATTTCTTTTAAGAGGATTACTCTTGGACAGCCATTGTTGCAAAGAGTGTTGTACTGAGGCTGTAATTCGAATTTCTACTTGGGCAAGGAATTTATTGGGTTGACCATTGGGATTGTTAAGTAATTTCATCTAATCTATCTCACACAGTTATGTGTGAGGTTCAATGCTGGGATAGACTATGTGTTTCACATTGAGTTCATTGGAAGGGTGTATATATTTATATACACACACACGCACATATACATATACGTATATGTATATATTATATATATATATATGTGTGTGTGTGTGTGTGTGTACTTATATATGTGTGTGTGTGTGTGTGTGTGTGTGTGTGTGTGTGTGTATGTATATGTATAATAGCCCCCTGGTGGTGTAGTAGTTTAAACTGCTGAGCTGCTGAATTTGCTGACCGAAAGGTTGGCAGTTCAAATCCAGGGAGCGAGGTGAGCTCCTGCTATTAGCCCCAACTTCTGCCGACCTAGCAGTTCAAAAACTTGCAAATGTGAGTAGATCAATAGGTACTGCTTCTGCAGGAAGGTAATGCGCTCCATGCAGTCACGCCAGCCACATGACCTTGGAGGTGTCTGCAGACAATGCCGGCTCTTTGGCTTAGAAATGTTGATGAGCACCATCCGCCAGAGTCGGACACAACTAGACTTAATGTCAAGGGCAATCTTTTACCTTTACCTTTATATATATAATAAATGATGTACTCTTGAATGCTTTGGAAATATTTTGGCTATTTCTAAGAAACCCAAGTGCCTGGGTGATCAAGATGAAATCAACTCTTCCTAAATTAGCTGTATAATACAACATCCAAACTGTCATTAATGCTTATCATTTGTCCGGAGCATTCAGAGTGATTCACAGTATTAACTAATTTAGTGTTTACATTAATGGGCAGTATCATATCTCATATCACAGACCGAGGATGTGCAAGTGTGGCTTATAGAATCATAGAATCATAGAGTCGGAAGAGACCTCCTGGGCCATCCAGTCCAACCCCATTCTGCCAAGAAGCAGGAATATTGCATTCAAAGCACCCCTGACAGATGGCCATCCAGCCTCTGTTTAAAAGCTTCCAAAAAAGGAGCCTCCACCACACTCCGGGGCAGAGAGTTCCACTGCTGAACGGCTCTCACAGCCAGGAAGTTCTTCCTCATGTTCAGATGGAATCTCCTTTCTTGGTGGTGTGAAGACTTCTATGTTTCTATTAGAGGCAGGATTTGAATTAGGAATGACCTGGTCTGCAGATGTGCCCTGTGGCTGCTGTGCTTCACTGCTCTTTGTTTAGTCAGCCTTCCTTAGCTTAATGTTCTCCACATGTTTGGAAATATAGCTTCCAGGATTTCTCCAGATCAGTCATGTTGATTTGGAAGTTATGGGAGCAAGTGTTTGAAGCATCTTGGAAGGCACCAAGATGGGAAAAGCTTATCTAAACGTGTCAATGGCTTCTCGTCACGATTATATACAATGCAGTCTCTTTGTCTAGAGCAGTGATTCTCAACCTGTGGGTCCCCAGGTGTTTTGTCCTACAACTCCCAGAAATCCCGGCCTTGTTTACCAGCTGTTAGGATTTCTTGGGAGTTGAAGGCCAGAACATCTGGGGACCCACAGGTTGAGAACCAGTTCTCTAAAGACAGCAAACACGAGATGGATAAAGACAACAATAAGATAAGTTCTTTTCTTGTCTTTACCACTGCCCAATGCAGAAGATGCCGGGCTAGTTAGGTTTTTCAGAAGCTCTGAAAATTTGGACAGGCTCATATAGGAGAAGACAGTCCTTCACATATTGTGGACCCGAGTCATGTAGGGCTTTGTAAGTTCTGGTTCTAAAGTTCTCTAAGTTTGGTCAAATTCACACATGGAAAATTAAGGACACAAAGATGACAAAGCAACAGACAACTGCCTGATAGTCACATTCTTGTTTGTGATCAGTGAGTGTCACTGTATTCCATTTGGCAAAGGTCATTCATTGCTTGGGACTGAGGTTGTGCTGTTGACATGTGGCTTGAAGCATACACATCTGTGACAAATGGTCATCTCTACCATGATCCAAGATCTTTAAGTCTCTCCCATCAAAGAGCTATTTGAGGAGACCTACCATAAAAATTGTCTTAGCTATAGAAAGGGGGAAAAACAAACAAACAAGATACCAGAAAGCAATAGTATATTACAACTGTTTTTATATTACAGACCAACAGCGGCTGAACTTCTAAGACATAAATTTTTCCAGAAAGCAAAGGTACGGCCAGAGATCGCTTCTCTCTCCAATCTAATGTTTATAGGTAATCAATGTATTGCAAGTCCACAATCCATGTTGTAGTTACTCTTCTCAAATATGATGTACCAGTGGAAATGAGAAGTGGAGAATGTTTGGTAATGCAGATGTTTCTGGATTATATCTCCCATCATATGTGACCATTCATCCTGTTGGGTGGGCCAACTAGGACTTGGGACTCCAATGTCTTCTGGAGAGCCAGAGTTTCTAACAAAAATTGAGGGGGTCTCTTAATAAGGGATGTCCATTGTTTGAGGGCTAGCAAGCTTGTTCCTTATAGGGCTGACAAGTCTCACTTATTATAAGGTTTGTATTGTCGAAGGCTTTCATAGCCAGAATCATTGGGTTGTTGTGTGTTTTCCAGGCTGTGTGGCCATGTTCCAGAAGCATTCTCTCCTGATGTTTTGCCTGCATTTATGGCAGGCATCCTCAGAGGTTGTGAGGTCTGCTGGAAACTAGGAATATTGGGTTTATATATGTCTGGAAAGTCCAGGATGGGAGAAAGAATTCTTGGATATTTCAGATAGGTGTGAATGTAGCAATTGGCCACCTTGATTAGCATTTAATGTCCTAGCAGTTTTTAAAGTCTAGTTTCTTACTGCCTAGGGGAATCCTTTGTTGGGAGGTGATTAGTTGGCCCTGATTGTTTCTTGTCTTTAATTCCCCTGGTTTTGAGTGTTGTTCTTTATTTACTGTTATGATTTTAAAAGTTTTTAAATACTGGTAGCCAATAGCCAGAATCATTGGGTTGTTGGCCAACTAATTACCTCCCAACAAAGTCTTCCCCCAGACAGTAAGCAGTCACCTTGAAAACTGCTAGGCCTTTAAGTGCCAGTCAAGGTGGGTAGCTGCTACGTTGTCATCTAGCTCCACCAGATAAGAGTTCTTTCTCCCACCCTGGGCATTTTACTGCAGTGATTCTCAACCTGGGGCCCCCAGATGTTTTTGGCCTACAACTCCCAGAAATCCCAGCCAGTTTACCCAGTTTATTTCTGGGAGTTGAAGCCCAAAAACATCTGGGGACCCCAGGTTGAGAACCACTGTTCTACAGATACATGAGCCCCATTTCCTAGTTACCAACAGATCTCACAACCTCTGAGGATGCCTGCCATAGATGCAGGTGAAACGTCAGGAGAGAATGCTTCTGGAACATGGCCATACTGTCCGGAAAACACACAACAACCCAATTGTAAGGGTTGTCCCCTATTTGAAGGTTGAAAAGATTTTCCTTTTACATGGATTGAAGATGTGTGTGTCGTGTGATCTATGAATGTTGACAGTACCTTTGTTTTACGGAGAAATGCATGACTAAATTAAATTAATACTTTCATTTGGTGTTTTGTAAGAATACAGACTTGTTTAGCTACTTCTTGAATGTCAACCCTTTGTGTCATGAATTTTCACTGTCCCTTATTGCTATTTTTAACATTTCCTAAAATTATATATATATTCATATTCTCAAAAACTCATGTTGGAAATGGCATTTCCAGATTTGCCTGATGAAGAAGTCAGAGTGTTTTGAAATTCTAGAAGATAACGAGGACATTTTTGCCATGTTGGGCTATTTTAGACCTAGGAGAGACTCTTTGAAAAGGAACAAAGAAGCTGCTCTTGAGTCCAAAAAGAGCTCCGAGTGGCTTAAATATGGCAAAAATGCCTCCACTCTCTCAACAATTGGGGTGTTTTTTTCCCCATGGGGAAAATAACATCTTCCCCTGAAGAAGGAAGTTCTGGTTGTTTTCCAGGCAGCCACCCAGGAAACTAGAGACGGTTGTCCCCATGCTACTCATGAGACTTTCATATTATTCTTTGGAAGGCAGCAGATTAACATTTTCCCATCAAAGGCTTTTCTGAATCTATTTTGAGCTACTAGAGAGAGCTATTTTGATACCCCCCTCTGACATACTTTCTGAAAAATACTATTAGAGCCAAACAACAGCCTTTTGAAGAACAGGATGCAAAATTTAATGGTCTGATATATTATTTTTCTTCTAGAATAAAGAATTTTTACAAGAAAAAATGCTGCAAAGAGCACCAACAATCACGGAAAGAGCCAAAAAGGTACAAGTGTGGGAATGTAACAGTTGTATTTTGTTGTTGTGATGATAATGACAACAATGATGATGATGTGCAACAACTTTGTCTTGTGAACTTGACAAAGAATATTAAATTTACACACAGAACAGTTACATTGTTCTGAATGGAGGATCCATCCAAAGCTCATTCGAGTAAAAAACACTTTACACAATCTTCAGAAGACATCCAAGATGAGCCCCTTGAGAAATAGGATTCCAACTGTGAGGGACAGCAGCTCAGATTGCCTCTGTGTTTCTATTTTGGTTCAAAATCAGAATCGTTGCATCTCTCAATTGTGATTTGGTTACTCCATGTTACTAACAGGAGCGGGACGCAGGGAGCACACAACCCCCTTGTTGTTCCAGCTTCATTGGCTGCCGATCTGCTACCGGGCCCAATTCAAGGTGCTGGTGCTGGCCTACAAAGCCCTAAACGGTTCCGGCCCAAAATACCTGTCTGACCGCATCTCGGCCTATGAGCCCACGAGGACTTTGAGATCGTCTGGGGAGGCCCTTCTCTCGATCCCGCCTGCCTCACAGGCACGCCTGGCGGGGACGAGGGATAGGGCCTTCTCGGTGGTGGCCCCCCGGCTGTGGAACACCCTCCCTGTAGACATCAGACAGGCGCCCTCCCTTATGACATTCCGCAAGAGACTAAAGACGTGGTTGTTTGAGAAGCTGTTTGACTAAGTGCTACAACAATTGGCAATGATGATTGGAACGGAATATGGATAACGAGATTGGATTGTGATTCTATGATGAGACGTCGCGAATGATTTAGTGTAATTGTATTATTAATAGTGATGTTGCTATTGTTGTTTGTGTAATTGCCTTATTGTAAATTGTTTTTTATATGTTGTACACCGCCGTGAGTCGCCCTAGGGCTGAGAACGGCGGTCTACAAGTGCAGTAAATAAATAAATAAATAAATAAATAAATAAATAAATAAAGTACGTCCAGGAGATGGCCATCCAGCTTCTGTTTAAAAGCCTCCAAAGAAGGTGCTCCCACCACAGTCTGGCTCAGAGAGTTCCAATGCTGAATAGCTCTCACAGCTAGGAAGTTCTTCCTAATGTTCAGGTAGACTCTCGCAAGAGCAGTCGCTTTTGTTGCAACGGTGGAGTAACAGTGAGGCCGTAGATCATATTTTAGTTCTTGTGGGCCACTGGTGGTCCACAAACCACAGGTTGGGAACCACTGCTGTAGAGTCACGCTAAGCTGCATCTCAGATACAGAATATATTGATTAGCTTTAAACCATTGATAATTTAATATTCCAAATCTCTACAGTGATACTTACTCAGGTGTTAACGATGAAGTCTGAAAACCTTTACTATAGTAAAAGTTACTCATTACTGGAAGAAAAATGAATATCTGTATGGAGGGATCTCTATTAGAATTATGTGTTCCTTTTTATATATATAATGTGTTCAGTTTTGCATGGTTAATTTTATATTGAGGGTTGAGGGATCTGGGGGACAATATTTCCATCTCTCCAACATCTCCTAATATGATGGAACTGTTAGTAACATAAAGTTGTTCAAGGATTAGTAAGTAACATAGTTCGGGCTCCATTGCAATACAGGTCCGGAGAGTCCCTGGCTCCAGTGGTCGCCTTCATAAGACGGAAGACGGAGGCTGGGAATGGAGTGACGATGAGTTAGATGAAGAGAGCGAAGAAGGCAAAGCAGCCATTTCACAGCTCAGGGTGAGTACCAGTTTTTATGGTTTATTTATTTACAGTATTTATATTCTGCCCTTCTCACCCCGCAGGGAACTCGGGGCGGATCACAACGCACATACATATACATGGCAAACATTCAATGCCATAGACACACAACACATATAGACAGAGACACAGAGGCTATTTAACTTTCCAGCTACATGAGGGTATGCACTTTGAATTCCAGCCACTGGGGAGCTGTCGCTACACTATCCACTTGTGACATCGATGGAGTGCTTCCTCATTCTTTTGCATGCTGCTGGAGAGTTTTATGGCATTGTAAATTAGTTAAATTAGCCTCCCCACATAAGCGGTACCTAAATTTCCTACTTGACAGGTGCAACTGTCTTTCAGGCTGCATAGATCAACAGCAAACTAGACTATTAATGGCCAGGAGCTCACTCTGACCCGGGCTGGCTTTGAACTCATGATCTCTTGATCAGTAGGGATTTTAATGCAGCTGACTCCCAATCAGCTGTGCCACAACCCGATCCCAGTTAAACCACGTGTGTTTGTGAAAATTAGCTCTCAAACGGGAAGGAGATCTCATTCAGGCAGGAAGTCATTGTCTCATTTGGAAATGCAGTGTGTGTGTGAAGCTGTTAAAAAGAGAAAATGTTATATAGTAGGCCCAACTTATGCGAGCTTATTGAATGCAGTTTCACTTAAGCACAAAGAGTTTTGAATACCACAGAATTGCTCTGGAGGATGTTGAAAGTACCCTGAGAAGGTCTCTTTAAGCCTTCAGCTTGAATTTATGTTGACCTTACCTTGGAAGTTGACTTTTGAATTGCTCAGGAGGCCTGAAGAGAACATTTTCTAGTCCAGGGGTCCTCAAACTAAGGTCCGGGGGCCAGATATGACTCCCAAGGTCACTTACCCGGCCCTCGCTCAGGGTCAGCCTAAGTCTGAAACGGCTTGAAAGCACAAACAACAACAACAACAACAACAACAACAACAACAATCCTATCTCAACAGCCAAAAGCAGGCCCACACTTCTCATTTAAATACTAATAAGTTTATATTTGATAACACTGTTATTCATTTTAATTATCGTAATTATTTATTATTTATTTACTTAGAACTTTTATATACCGGTCTTCTCGACCTCCGCAGAGGGACTCAATCCGGCTCACAACAAAAGATTCATAACAAAAGTTTAAAACATCACATCTCATAATACACTAACACATTAAAATACAATCATATAATTGCATAAGGCCAAGTCGTCAGAATGAAGACACAATTTATCACTATCCGTCCGTGTGGTCAGGAGTTATTGACTCAGTCATCAAATGCCAAATTCCAGAGCCAAGTTTTCACCAGTTTTCTAAACGTCAGGAGAGAAGGGGCAGTTCTAATCTCCAGTGGGAGAGAGTTCCAGAGCTGAGGGGCCACCACCGAGAAGGCCCTGTCCCTCGTCCCCACCAGACGCAATTGCGAGGGTGGTGGGACCGAGAGCAGGGCCTCTCCAGAAGATCTTAACAACCTTGATGGTTCACAGGGGAGAATCCGTTCGGACAGGTAAAATGGGCCGGAGTCGTTTAGGGATTTATAGGTCAACACCAGCACTTTGAATTGTGCTCGGAAGCTAATTGGCACACAGTGGAGCTGGCGCAACAGAGGAGTAGTATGCTCTGTTATTGTTTTTAAGTGTTTTTTTTTTGCACTACAAATAAGATATGTGCAGTGTGCATAGGAATTCATTCATATTTTTACAAATTATAATCCAGCCCTCCAACAGTTTTAGGGACTGTGACTTGGCCCTCTGTTTACAAAGTTTGAGGACCCCTGTTCTAGTCCTATGGAGCAACCCCTTGATACAGTAGAAGCCCAAGATGTCATTCATTTCAGATATGAAAAAAAAGTTTGGGTTACACAAAATGTGAAGGCTTCTAGACTGAATCACTTGTGTAATACATGAGCTTTCTGCATTTTGCAAGAAATCTGGAGGGATAGATTCACATAGCCATTTGTGAAGCAGAGTTCAGTTCAAATGGGCTTTTCATCAACATAGAGAATGGAAAAAAATAGTTTTTTGACCATAATTCCAAGAATTCCCCCAGCAGCGTCGCCACTGGATTGTGTAAACATGGATTCTGGGAGCTGTCCAAAAAAGCAAGCTTTCCAAGCTCTGGAACATACGCTTATACGGTTCCCATTCCAGTGTTAGAAAGAAAGAAGTGAGCTAGTAGTTTTTGCAGTAGTGAAAACTGCTACAGTCTTTACTTTTGGATCGCTTCCACACAAATGTCACCAGAGGAGAGAATGAAGCCCTGGAATGTCAGTTCCAGTGTGCTGTGAAATCTGGCATTTTGTCTATGAGTTCTAAGGGCCGGCAGTTGCCTAACATTGGTCCTTTTTGTTTTGTTGTTGTTGTTGTTGTTCATTGGTCCAGTCGTTTCGACTCTTCGTGACTTCATGGACCAGTCCATGCCAGAGCTCCCTGTCAGTCGTCACCACCCCCAGCTCCTTCAAGGTCAATCCAGTCACCTCAAGGATGCCATCCATCCATCTTGCCCTTGGTCGGCCCCTCTTCCTTTTTCCTTCCATTTTCCCCAGCATAATTGTCTTCTCTAAACTTTCCTTTCTTCTCATGATGTGGCCAAAGTCCTATTTGTACCTTGCTGTTTATCCCAAAAGACTGCAAAAATCCAGTTTTACCATTTTTCATCTATTTGATTTTGGGGACATACAAAGTCCAGGAAGTGTCTGACGTTTGATCCCATACAACAGCTAGCATTGTGACCTTGTTTGCTCTATACTAATCTTGTTATGTTTCTAATAATAATAATAATAATAATAATAATAATAATAATAATAATAATAATAATGTAAAATAATAAATGTAATAATAACAATAATAAATAGAGTAAAATAATAAATGTAGTAATAAAGAGATAAAACAATACATGTATAATAATAAATAGAGTAAAATAATAAATGTAAAAATAATAGAATAAAATAATGTAAATTTAATAATAATAATAATAATAATAATAGAGTAACATAATGTAAATGTAATAATAATAATAATAATAATAATAATAATAACAGAGTAAAATAATAAATAACCTTTACCCGAGTATAAGCCAAGGAGGGCTTTTTCAGCCTAAAAAAAGGACTGAAAAACTTGGCTTATGCTTGAGTATATAAGGTGTATTTTATTAATATTTCCAAAATCCCAAACCCTTGTGGTCCCAAGCGTTTTACATAAGGGATACTCAACCTAAACTTTCAAGTACGTGAAATAGTGGCAGCCTGTGTTTCCATCACCCAAGCCCAGTGCATTGACTCTTTTCAGTGCAATCCTTTTGGAGAATAATTGTATAAACAGCGTCTTTGGGGGAATCCAGGATCGTCTGTGAAAACCTTAGGCAATCAGTTTTGATCAGACTTAATTATGTTAATGAACATCTGCCTAGAGAAGTATTGGTGGTTTCTATTTCCAGAATGGTTAGTTGCATTTCCATTTCTCCCAGCAGCTGCTCCCTCCAGCTTTTGTACTTCAGCTTTTTTGGGCTGGTGGGGAGGATGCTTTTGAGGAAAATATAAATTTCTATACTAGTTGCTAGTTAGTTCTGGGCTATCTTTGGAAAAGACAGCAGTGTCTCTTTCTGAAAGAGACCTTGGCCTCTGTGTTGCGCTTTCTAGACATAGACGATGTGTTGCTTACTCAGTAGAAACAGGACAGGGCAACACATGGTATTTCATATGAATTATTGAAAACAAGCCATTTGCCATTATATCTGCATGCACACACTCACACTCGGCTCCCTTCGATATTTTTCCCTCCAGCTTTACAGGCATCTGACCTCAGCAGTTCTTCTGTTGTCAGGAAATCATTGTTTGCAATTAGATTGCAACCCATGGGTTTTAAAACAGTTTGTGCTCACTGGAGGGAGGGGGGACACATTTATATGTATGCGCAGTGGTTTTGTGCAGCGCAGCCAAGATTATCCAAGAGCTAGTGTGGCATAATTCATAGAGGAAACTGAGCTATGAATCGGGTAGTTCCCAGTCAGTCTTGTCTGCAACCCCATGCCTGGAGGGGCAAATAATAAATCACATAAACAAGGTAAAAAGGTAAAGGTTTCCCCTATTAGGTCTAGTCATGTCCAACTCTAGATGGTAGTCTCAATTCTAAGCTGAAGAGCCGGCATTGTCCATAGACACCTTCTTGGCCATGTGGCCAGCATGACTGCATGGACAACAATGGCAATTTATAGAAATAATTTATACACTAATTCATACACAGATAATTATATATTAGGAAGTGGGGCTGCATTGTTGTGTTTGTTACTTTCCCCTTTCCCTGGCATTGAAAACTAATGGCGGGTATTTTCTCTTTTAGTCTCCCAGAGTGAAAGAATCGTTACAGAATTCAGAGGTAAGTTGTTAACCTTTCATTGTAAGTCATTGGACCTGGCTTGCTCTCTGTTTTTAAGTTTTAGGAAATGCCAAGGGCACCATAGGTAAAGTTAAAGGTTTCTCCTGACATTAAATCTAGTCATGTCCAACTCTCGGGGGGTGCTGCTCATCTCCATTTCTAAGCCATAAACACCCGAGGTCATGTGGCTGGCATGACTGCATGAGGCGCCATTACTTTCCCACAGAAGCGGTACCTATTGATCTACTCACACTTGCATGTTTTCAGACTGCTAGATTGGCAGGAGCTGAGGCTAACAGCAGGAGCTCACCCCACTCCCCGGATTTGAACCGCTGACCTTTTAGCAAGTTAACCTGCATTGGCACCAGGGGCTCCATCAAGAGCACCATAGCCAAGCAATAATAAAGTGGGATCATTGTCAGTATAATATTTATTTATTTATTTATTTACAGTATTTATATTCTGCCCTTCTCACCCCGCAGGGGACGCAGGGCGGATTACAGTGTACACATATATGGCAAACATTCAATGCCAATTTTTGACATACAAACATATACAGCCATACACAGAGGCTATTTAACTTTTTCTGGGAGCTGTTGCTTTCATCGTCCATTTGCGACACCATGAAGTACTTCCGCATTCCCCGCATGCTGGAGTCTTTTATGGCCTCATAAATTAGTTAATTTAGCCTCCCCACACAAGGTGGTACCTAATTTTCCTACTTGACAGATGCAACTGTCTTTCGAGTTGCAAAGGTCGACAACAGGCTACACAATTGGTTGGAAGCCCACTACAACCCGAGCTGGCTTCGAATTCATGACCTTTTGGTCAGAGTGATCTTATAATGCAGCTGACACTCAGCCAGCTGTGCCACAATCCCAGTGCAATAGGTTTTTTTTTAAAAAAAAAAGTACACCTTGTACCAGTATTTGTTCTTTCACCTCCCTATATCTAATAAAATATGTCCTTCCTAGGCATTTTCAAGGTTCCCCCAGGCTAGTCTATGGTATATTTCTACCAAAAGTTACCATAGAATTACCCTGGAAAGCCTATTAAATTTCTCACGCGCATAGTGCTTAATGCAGCCTTTCACAAGCTATCTAATGTAAAGGACTGGCAAATTATTATTATTATTATTATTATTATTATTATTATTATTATTTCCATTGTGGTAGAGTCTGATACCATATTTTGTTAGGTTTTCTGTCATTCAGTGAAGAGTCACTTTTATTTTCAAAGCACCTTTATTGCTAATGCATGAAAGTGATGCAGTTACCTAACTTTTTTTTGGTCTAGACCAGTGGTTCCCAACCTTTTTTTGATCTGGGACCACTTGACCAGGGCTCACTCTCCAACATTAGTACCCAAAGGGTTATGAATCGGATTTTGGCCAAGTTTACATTTGGTTGGTTACTTGGGGTGCTGATTCAGAAAATTGCATTGGATAGACCCCATCAGCTCTAGTTTCTGATACAGAACATATGCCATCCAGTAGTCGCTATCTGCTCACCCACAGAAAACTATATTTAATAACCTAGAGCTAATGTGATAGTAGTACTCTTTCGTGGATAGTCAGCCTCTTCCTGCCCAACATCCCTGTTGCAGCAGCCCTATAAGAGGGTTTTGCAAGACCAGTAGCTGTTATTGCCACGTGGTTTCAAGGCAACGGTGTAGTAATGGTGAGGCCACAGACCACCATTCTTGCGGACCATTGGTGGTCCACGAACCACAGGTTCTAGCCCGAATTGTGTCCCTATGATTCCCTATATAAAGGCTTTCATGTCAGTTGCTTCTAGTATCATAAGTCACACTCATCTCTTTGTAACTCAGTAAGTGACGGGGCTTTCCTTCCTTCCCGAGATGTTGGGGCAATTCCCATTTTATTGTTTCCTGATGATACCTTTAGGGTTTCCTGCCAGATGAACCCCTCACATTCACTACAAATACATATCTGCCTTGTAGAGCCGTCTTGAGTCACCTTCAGGTTTGAGAAACGCAGGGGCATCATAAATAAATATCTCCATTAGCTTCCCCATTGACAGGTCCACAAGGACTTCCTCTTGTAGTCATGCCAATTTGTGCCCATTGCCTAAGATTCATTCTTTTATCCCTGGTGGCTCCCCAGTAGCTGTCAACCAATGGTTTCTGGTCCATGGACCATCACCATCCATAGTATTATTAGTTTAAAGTACTGTATTTCATCACATAATAGTCGCACTCTCCTTTCCCCCCACAAAAAGGGTGTGTGTGTGACTATTATGCGGTGAAGGACTAATATTTGCAAATGATTAATCCCCCCTTTGCTTCAATAGCAATGCATGGCAATAGTTCAGTTTGTGTGTTTGAGGTAGTGGTAGTTGTGTGTGTCTGTTGGTTTCTTTCTTTCCTCCAAACTCGCCTTTTCTTTGCATTTCTAGCTCTTCCCGTCAGCTGAGCCTACAGGCCCATTGCTCAACGTCCCGGCCCAGATTCCCGCTCAACTACCTCAGCCTGCGGGCCAAGCTCCCGCACAACCGTCTCCAGCTGCCCCTCTTCCAGCTTCTCAGGCACCTCCGGCGGCTCCTCCGGCGGCACAGGTAAAGGCGGAGATCTTAAGCAGGGAAAATAGATCTCTGGTCAGGTATCCGCCCTCTTTAGGCATCGATATCTGGACTGTTTACTTTCATTTGAGGGTCAAGATGTGCTAGGATTTTGCTACTCTCCTGTGGAGCATGGGATCCTCAATGTTGTGTTTGTGATTTGGGCTTAGCTGTTTTGGAGGAAGCCTGCTAGATGCAACGATATCTGAGGAAGACAGGAAAAAAATGTCTAAATGACTGAAGCTAAAAGTACATGCTTCACCAGGTTTGGGGTGTGATCTGGAAAAAGGCTCCCTCTTTTTGGACTAGGATTCTAAGTTGACTTTCCCAAGCTGGGTATCCAAAACACCTTGAGTAGAAAGGCTAATGAGAGTGAGCAGCTTCCACCTCAGTGGCGTCACTAGGGTTGGTGTCCCCGTCTACTGTTCTTCTGCTCATTATCATGGTAGACTTCTCATTTAAGGTCCATTTCTTGTTTGAATGGAGGAAATGCAAGTAAACGTGGGTTTCTTACACAGAATGAATTCCAGCCAAAGTCAGCTCATTCTTCAGACATGTCTTGGGACATGTCCTGCTGTTTGTGCTGAATTGTGGCAACCTCAAGGCTGCCCTCGGTAAAGAGACAAGTGGCTATTCTTGTAGCCTGGGTGAGGCATCTAAAGCTCGGGAAGGGGCGGGGAAGCATTCTCATGCCATGGGTCTTACAGGTCCCCTGGGAGTCATTTGGTTGTGCTTGTGGCCAGAGCAACACTTGAAGGCTTCAGCTTTTTCCTAGAAACATTTTCATGGTTTTTGGAGCAGGGATATATATAAACCCATCCAGCTCACAGGGCTCCTGTTCTTGTCCTGACAGCACATTAATCTTCGAGGACAGGCCTTGGCATCTGCTGTTCTTGGAGTCAATTTGGCTGGAATTAAATAGCACTTACTTGGCTTGAGGTCTGCAGATGTCCTCGTTAGAACCAGGTCAGACAATTAAAATACTTGAGGGCTTTAGCTTTCCATTTTGGGTATTCTTACATGATAGGGGTTGGACTGGATGGCCCCTGTGGTCTCTTCCATCTCTATGTTTCTGTGAAACAATCCCTAAAATTTCCACAGTGGGTGTTGGTACGGCTTCCCAGTAGTCGTAAAAAGAGGCAGCTGATGTCAGTACAGAGCTGTGTACAGCAAGAGAGCAATGCCCATCAGGTTAAATCCATGTCCAATGTGACCTCAAACTCCTACCCATCTTCTTTCTCAGCCCCCCCCCCCCCCAATATTAATTCCCATATTGTGAGGTACCACTTCTAATCTCATCTTGGAGACTTGGTAGGCCATTTTGAATGGAGCTTCACTCAGGTTCCTCGGAAACCTTGACATCCAGACAGACTGTTTGTCTCTTTGGCTGAATTTTGTCTGCTCTGGCTAATGGAACTTATCCTGATTTTCATGTAGTAGATTGCTTTTCCATCATCTCCAAACTGGTTGTTGTGGGCAGGTAATGTTGTTGTTTTTTCGTTCAGTTGCTTCTGACTCTTGGTGACCTCCTGGACCAGCCCACGCCAGAGCTCCCTGTCAGCCAGCCATGGCCACCCCCAGCTCCTTCAAGGTCAAGCCAGTCACTTCAAGGATACCGTCCATCCATCTTGCCCTTGTTCGGCCCATCTTCCTTTTTCCTTCCATTTTCCCCAGCATCATTCTCTTCTGCAAACTTTCCTGTCTTCTCATGATGTGACCAAAGTACTTCATCTTTGCCTCTAATATCCTTCCCTTCAGTGAGCAGCCAGGCATTATTTCCTGAAGTATGGACTGGTTGGATCTTCTTCTGGTCCAAGGCACTCTCAGAATTTTCCTCCAACACCACAGTTCAAAAGCGTCTATCTTCCTTCACTCAGCCTTCCCTAAGGTCCAGCTCTCACATCCATAGGTTACTACAGGGAATACCATTGCTTTAACTATGCGGATCTTCATTGCCAAAGTGATGTCTCTGCTCTTTACTATTTTATCAAAATTGGTCCTTGCTCTCCTCCCAAGAAGTAAACATCTTCTGCTTTCCTAGCTGCAGTCTGCGTCTGCAGTAATCTTTGCGCCTAGAAATGCAAAGTCTGTCACTGCTTCCATGTTTTCTCCCTCTATTTGCCATTTATCAATCAGTCTGGTTGTCATAATCTTGGTTTTTTGATGTTTAACTGCAACCCACCTTTTGTACTTTCTTCTTTCACCTTGGTTAGAAGGCAGGTGTAGCTCTCCAGATTTGTTTTCACCTCCAGCTCCTGTAATACTATGTAATAAAATTTGAAAAATGTTTTGTTCCTGGTTTGAAAGTCTTTTTTTCCTGTTTAATTGTGTGGTACTTCCTTTGAAAGTAGTTGTTATACTCCAGAAACTTCATTTTTATGGCTGCCACAAACTATGTTGAATTGGTTGAGACTCTGTGATATATTTATTGAAAAACTAGAGCAGAATGTGCTGCAGGATGTCCCGCAAAAACAAAGTTTTCGCAGTTTAATAAACCTTTCCCTGTTTTTATGATAGAACCAATTAGGAAATCATGCTACATAATGTAATGCCACAGAACTGGCTGTATTAGCCAGTGCTGATGGGTGTTGCAGGTTTAAAAATATCTGGAGGACCACATTTGTTGAATTCTTCTGCAGTTGGAAATGCTCAGTGCTAGGTGTGGAACCATCGGATTTATTTTCTTTTGCTTGTTTGCAAGTTTTGAAAGCCACAGAATCCTGGCATTGCTTCAGCCCATCGCTGAAAGTAAGCAGGCATTTTCTTTTCTTTCTCCTCTTTGAAAAAGGCACCTCCTGCCCCTGCTGCAGCCCCAGCACAAGAGGAACCGAAAGTCCCCATCAGCCTTGTTCTAAGGTTAAGGTAAGTGCAGAATAAGCTAGTGGTTTGGAATGGTTTGAGTGCTGGAATAGGACATTGGGAGACCAAAGTTGCATCCCTGCTTAGTTGTAGATCTCCACTGGGCACCTTCGGATAAGTCTGCCTAAGAAGGGGATTATTACAAAGGCAACAATGCTTGCCAGTGTAGAAGCCAGTAGGATGCATTACAGGTGGGAAGACTTGGTCAATGCTGTGACTCAGCTGGAATCACAGAGTGATAGTGTTGAGATTAATTTCACAGTTCAGCAGCAGATCAGTTGCACAACTTCAGCGCTTTCCAGTAGCTTCTTCTTGCACAGTATTTTCAGTCAACTGCTCCCACAGCCTGCAGTCACTCTGGAACCTTTTACAGACACTTGAGCACATGCCCGGCCATTGTCAGTTTTACCATTGTCTTTTCCCCAGTCTAGATGATATTACAAACTTACCACAGCATACAGTTATATCTTGTCTTAGCAGACAGGTTCTTTTAATTACATATAGCCTTCGACGAACAACATCACAGCACAAGGAGAGATACACACTGTACATGACGTCCTTATATACAATTCATTTACACATAGCAATCACCGATTGGTTCCCAACTCATTGACTCAACTCAAACCCAGGATTGCATCATTCACAATCACCTGGACTAGGCCAGAACACCCCAAATGAAGTTCTATATACAGTTAATGCATGACTCAGCATTTCCAATAGAAGCCTATTAGCAGTGCATGACTCAGCTATATTACATTACAATACATTGTAAAACCTGACAGATAGTGTCAGTGATTCTGATGGGGATGATGGGATTCAGATTCACAATCGGGTGCAAAGCAATGATATCCCTGTGTTAGACGAAGAAGAACAGGAACAGGGGACAGAAGTTCAGTTGTTTCCCACAGCAAGGGGATGACGCTGTTGGAAGTGAAACTACTGAGAGCCAGGTGCAGGATTCAGGAAGGGAGGACGGTTCTCAGCCAGATAGTTCTCAGCCTGATAATGAGGGAAAAAGCACTAACGAGGGAATTGACCTTGATGAAGCCGGAGGTTTAGATCAAGCTGATCGGTTGGAATTTAAGGTTTGAAGGAGTGTCAGGATCGCTAGCAGGTGAGAGAGGGAGGCTCGGGGCCATAGGAACACCTTCATGTTGTCCAAAGAGTATTAAACAGGCGGTTTGAATATCCCTCAGTGTCAGAGCAACTTCCTGCTTCAACCAAGAGACTTTGGATTTATCTTGCAGCTTTCATGTTTTAGGACTTTGTCATGTTCTCATGGGACTTTGCCTTGCCCATGTCTTCATGGATCTTGTTTGCCTATGTTACCTTGAACTGATCTTTTGAAATATACTTTTGCCTTTTTGAACTTTCTATCTTTTACTTTAATACACCATAAAGACTACTGCTGGGGTGTTCTTTGGTGTCTTAAGCAAGGTGACTCTACTCTGAGGTGCGACAGTCAAGCAAATTTGCAAGACCTGAGCGTTGTTGACAAGAGGGTGGCCTGGAGGTTTCTCATGCATAGAATTGGCATAAGTTGAAATCCTACCAGTTAACAAACAACACCAATATCATAACAGCATCTACAATGCTCTTTCTGGGTTTCCTACGAGTCCTGAGAATAGTGAATATTTTAAGATCAGAATCATTTGGCCGTGCGATGGAGAGATCCCTCTTCAAAATGATATTGTCCTGTACTTTCATCTCATAATTTTTAAGCAACAGACTTTGATGTTGCTGTAGTCCAGAGATAGATCACTGCAGTGTTGGACTCTGAGGTGATGATGGGGCCAAAATTTTGTGAATTTTGCAACCAGACTATTTTAAGACATCTTAACACTGTTAATGGCTAGAAAACATTAACTACAATCTAACTGTGTTTTCTCTGCCTCAACAGGAATTCAAAAAAAGAACTCAATGATATTCGATTTGAATTCACGCCTGGAAGAGGTGAGTGGGGCTCAAAGGGTAGAATATAATGTCATGGAGAAGGCATGTGACATTGCAAAAGTGCTTTCAATGTTACTAAAATATTTATACTAGCTTGGTTACCTGCCATTGCCTGAGTTATTCGAAGCACACATTATTTTATTTTACAAAATGCATAAGGTTATGGGTACACTATAACTTGCATCATTCCAGGTTAACCCCCAAAACTCCATCAATACTTAAAGTTTGTCGTGTTGGGCAAGTTTGCTCTAGAGATGCATCCTTGGTGGGGTTCAGTATGTTCTCCAGCTGCAGGATGAATTACAACTCCCACCATGGTGGGTCAGTCCTGTCAAATCCCTCCAGTATGTTCAGTTGGTCATGGGGGTTCTGTGTGCCAAGTTAGGTCCATCATCAGTGTGGTTCGGAGTGCTCTTTGATTGCAGGTGAACTATAAATCCCAGTACCTACAACTAACAAGTGTCAAGGCCAATTCCACCCCAAATCCACCAGTACTCAAATGTGGGTATATTGGGTATGCGTGCCAAATTTGGTGCAGATCCATTGTTATTTGCGTTCACAGTGCTCTCTGGATCTACAAAAAAAATTCTATAAATCAAGGTGAATTTTCCCCAAAGCCCTCCTGCATTTTTTGTTGGTCATGGGGGTTCTGTGTGCTAAGATAGTTCCAGGTCCATCATCAGTGAGCCCCCGGTGGCGCAGTGGGTTAAACCCCTGTGCCGGCAGGATTGAAGACTGACAGGTCACAGGTTCAAATCCGGGGAGAGGCGGATGAGCTCCCTCTATCAGCTCCAGCTCCTCATGCGGGACATGAGAGAAGCCTCCCACAAGGATGATAAAAACATCAAATCATCCAGGCGTCCCCTGGGCAACGTCCTTGCAGACGGCCACTTCTCTCACACCAGGAGTCACTCTTGACACGACAAAAAAATCAGTGGGGTTCAGAGTGCTCTTGCATTGCAAGTGAACTATAAATCCCAGTAACTAATGTGTCTATAAATCAAGGTGAATTCCCCCCAAACCTAGGTCATAGGGGTTCTGTGTGCCAAATGAGATCCAGGTCCATTTTCAGTGGGGATCACAGTGCTCTGACTTGGTGCAGGGTGAACTACAACTTCCATCCTGTGGACTCAATCCCCCAAACTTCTCCAGTATGTTTAGTTGCTGATCAGTTCTGTTCTGTTTGTTATGCAGACAGAGTTGAAAAGAGTAGGAAGGGGTTAAGGGAGAGGCAATGGGCGGGATCATGCAAATTCCACACCACTGGGATGTCTCTGTGGTGAAGGAAACACAAAAAATCTAGGTTGAAATTGTCCTTAAATGAAAGCATTCCTTAGGTGTTGGGCAGTATGGTGTTTGGGGAGGACATTGGCATGGTTTGGGTTACATGTTTATGGTGTTCGCTGCAACCTGAAATATCCTTGGAGGGTGGGCTTTTGGTAGATCCTCAGCACTGTGGATCAAACCTGTTTGTGGAAGAGGAAACCTGTCTGTGGAAGTGGGCACCGCAGCCACATACACACATACATATTTTCACTTTTATTATCTGTATAGATGTTTGAGTTTAGCCTCTAAATGGGGATGATAGTGTGCTGGAGGACACAAGTTTAAGGTTTTTCACTTTCATCAAGGTCCTGGTCCCCCTTAACCCCAATAAATTTGGAGGGTTGGCTGTAATTGTCCCTTATCCAGGAAATTATATCTTTAACCACTGTCTTTAAAACCTAAATGCATTTGGATTAAGCTGCATGGAATTGTGATGCTCTCCAAATTGTGATCTTTCCAGATACGGCTGATGGGGTCTCCCAGGAACTCATCTCAGCAGGCCTTGTGGACGGCAGAGACTTAGTAATAGGTAAGGAATGGCTCGCGTTGTAGAAATTCCCACTATTGGGTTTGTGGATACTAGTTGTCTTATTGTTTTCTCAGTTCCTCCTTGTGCCAGAATGTCTACACTTTGAGAAAAATGTGCTCATAATGACTATGCTTGAAGACCCCATGTTTGAGTGTTTCCATCCTCTCTGTCATTTCAGTTGCCGCCAACTTACAAAAAATTGTGGAAGAGCCCCAGACGAATCGATCTGTCACTTTCAAACTGGTATTTACTACATTTCCCTTTATTGACTTGGTCTCTCAAAGAGGCTTTTTCTGCTCGCAGTTTCTGTAGGACATCTGGCACATCTCCTTTGCCTGCCAGGCCTTAAACCTGCTGTCTGTGCCCAATGGGTGATGCCCAGTTCTCATTTTCTGCAAGTTTAATGCAGTTTCAAACTGGTATTGAAGAAAGTGTCTTCACTGTGCACATAATTACAGTACTTAGGAAATCCTGGAGCCCATTTGAGGTCAGGATAGTGATGATACAAATCACAGAGCACTGATGCACATGAAAGGCTTGCTTTTGTGGGCATTTGATGTCTGGCTAACACAGTTTGAAGCTAGCTTTGAACTACATTAATTGCTCAGTGTAGATGGGGCACTAGATCTGCGTGTTATTTATGTATTTATTTACAGTATTTATATTCTGCCCTTTTTAGAGCGGATTACAATGTACACATACATGGCAAACATTCAATGCCATAGACACACAACACACAACACATATGGACAGACAGTCAGAGGCTATTTAACATTTCAATTTTCTGGCCACCAGGGGAGCTGTCGCTTCACCTTCTGGAGACCAAGCCCTATGAGGAGCGGCTTAAGGAGCTGGGCATGTTTAGCCTGAAGAAGAGAAGGCTGAGAAGAGATATGATAGCCATGTATAAATATGTGAGAGGAAGCCACAGGGAGGAGGGAGCAAGCTTGTTTTCTGCTTCCTTGGAGACTAGGATGCGGAACAATGGCTTCAAACTACAAGAAAGGAGATTCCATCTGAACATGAGGAAGAACTTCCTGACTGTGAGAGCCGTTCAGCAGTGGAACTCTCTGCCCTAGGGTGTGATGGAGGCTCCTCCTTTAGATGCTTTAAGCAGAGGCTGGATGGCCATCTGTCAAGGGTGCTTTGAATGCAGTTTTCCTGCTTCTTGGCAGAATGGGGTTGGACTGGATGGCTCACAAGGTCTCTTCCAACTCTATGATTTTATGACACTGATGAAGTACTTCCTCATTCTTTGCATGCTTGCTGGAGATTTTTATGGCCTTGTAAATTAGTTAAATTAGCCTCCCCACATAAGTGGTACGTAAATTTCCTACTTGACAGATGCAACTGTCTTTCGGGTTGCTAAGGTCAACAACAAGCTACACAAATTGGCCAGAAGCTCACTCCGACCGAGGCTGGCTTCAGACTCATGACCTGTTGGTCAGTGGTGATCTTAATGCAGCTGACACCCAGCCAGCTGCACCACAATCCCAGTTACTGTTGTTGATTCTTTTGAACATGATGTTTTCGAGCTTGTCCTTCTGTAACTGAGCCTCATTAGCCCTTGTGCTCCCTGGCCCATCACTTGCATTAGTTGCAACACAACTTTTGGAAGGGATACATGAAGAACTCATCCTTCGTAAAAGGACCTATCTTCGCAGAGAAATTACCAGGCACTGCATGAGCTGAAAATGATGTTTTCCTCCTTATAGTGTTTATTGTTATTGGGCTTCTGTTTTTTAATCTCTATAGTCATTATTATTTTCAGAAAAATAAGTGTTGTTATTAAATGTGTAAAATGATAATTTCCCAATATGTGATGTATATCACCATATATAGCAATCCAAATTACCATATATACTCAAATATAAGCTGAGTTTTTCAGCCTTTTTTTATGCTGAAAAAGTGTTGTTTCAGTATTTTACTTAATCTTCAAAACCCACAAGCATTTTCACCCTTTTTTCTTAGTAAATGAGACAATTCCCCTTCTTTTAAGAAGTTACCAATTGACTTTTTCTTTATCAAACAAGACAACTTGTCCATTTCTAGAATTTTCATTTTTCTTTTGGGGGTTGTGATTTCGTTTTCCATGTTTGTGCATAAAGTATTCTTGCTGCAGTGATCATATAATGTAATGCCTTGACATGGCACGGCTTTCATTAGTTGGGCTTCTGTTTGTTTCCAGGCTTCTGGCGTCGAAGGCTCCGACATCCCCGATGACAGCAAGCTCATTGGGTTTGCACAGCTCAGCATCAATTAAAAAAAAAGACACTCCCCTTCGACGGTCCCCGTGGGTGCAACAATCGAGCGCTTCTGTTGGCCTAAAAGCAAAACCACTACTGCCAAAGAACCAAACGACAGGCCCCTTTCTTAGAAGCTTTAACCTCAGTTGTTTTCCGGATAGCATCGCCACGTCTCCTGGTGCCACACACATGCGCACACACACACACCCCTCGGCTTCTCATCCCCTCGCAGGCAGTTCTCGCCTTTTCCTTCATCAGATGTGCAGACCCATCCTGTCCTCACCTGCATGGTTGTAGTTTGATTATTGCCTTAATTATTTAAGAAAAGCAAAGGAAGGGAGAGAGATTGACAAAAAACTAAAAAGCAGATGTACTACTGAGAGTCACAAATGGGTTTCCACGACTCTTCACTGGGTTGGTTTCGTTCTTTTGACCGAATCGTTTTTCTTTGACCATATAGAGCTGTCACATAACCGCAAAGGTGTTGTTTTTTTTTTGTAAGATGGACCCATGTGGTCAAAGAAAAGAAGACCAGACATAAGACTGAATTATTGCAATTTCTTGCAAAGTCTGCAGAGAGTGAGTTTGAAAGCCTTTAAGGGGATTATTTGAATTCCTTTAAGGTGCAGATAGTTAGCCTTAATTTCCCATTGAATGCAAAAATAACTGATGGAGGGTATTTTCTGGTTTCTCATAATGCTCTATTTGCAATCTCTGTGAAATTCCCCAGGTCCACAGCTCCATCCTGTTGGATATCTGCTCTCTTAAAACTCTACTTGCTTCTGCTGTTGTGTTGTCACAATAGTCTCAAATGCAGTAACAGCTGTGGGACAAGCAGAGTTTTATGGGATGTCTGAAATAGGTGCATCCATTTCTCTAACCTGGAAGGTTGCAAATGGAACATAGTATATTTCTTCCTCCATGTCCCATCTGCTTTTTACAACTCATAGACACCAGTTTTCCCTCTAAATTGGCATTTCCTATCTTGTCAAGTCAGCACCTCCATTGTGATCATGGGGATGCTAATACAGGCATGGGCAAAATTTGGCCCTCCAGGTGTTTTGGACTTCCACAATTCCTAACAGCCAAAAGGCTGAGTTGTTGTGAGTTTTCCAGGCTGTATGGACATGTTCCAGAAGTATTCTCTCCTGACGTTTCGCCTTCATCTATGGCAGGCATCCTCAGAGGTTGTGAGGTCTGTTGGAAACTAGGCAAGTGAGATATATATCTGTGGAATAATGTCCAGGGTGGGAGAAAGAACTCTTGTCTGCTCGAGGCAAGTGTGGAATCACTAAGTTTTTGTGGGTTTTTTCGGGCTATATGGCCATGTTCTAGAGGCATTTCTCCTGACGTTTCGCCTGCATCTATGGCAAGCATCCTCAGAGGTGAGGTCTGTCGGAACTGGGAAAAAGGGTTTATATATCTGTGGAATGACCAGGGTGAGACAAAGGACTTGGTGCAGGCGAAACGTCAGGAGAAATGCCTCTAGAACATGGCCATATAGCCCGAAAAAACCCACAAGAACTTAGAAAGAAATATTGTCTGTTTGAGGGAAGTGCGAATGTTGCCATTGGACAACTTGATTAGCATTGAATGGCCAGACCTTGAAACTGCTAGGCCAGTGGTTCTCAACCTGTAGGTCCCCAGGTGTTTTGGCCTACAACTCCCAGAAATCCCATCCAGTTTACCAGCTGTTAGGATTTCTTTGAGTTGAAGGCCAAAACATCTGGGGACCCACAGGTTGAGAACCACTGTGCTAGACCATTCAATGCTAATCAAGATGGCTAGTTGAAACATTCACACTTAGTTCTTACAAACGAGATTTCTTTCTCCCACCCTGGACATTATTCCACAGATATATAAACCCAATTTTCCTAGTTTCCAACAGACCTCACAACTTCTGAGGATGCTTGCCATAGATGCAGGCGAAACGTCAGTAGAGAATGCTTCTGGAACATAGCCGTACAGCCCGGAAAACTTACAACACAGTGATTCCAACCATGAAAGCCTTCGACAAGCCAGTAGGCTGTTAGGAATTGTGGGAGGTGAAGTCCAAGACATCTGGAGGGCCAAAGTTTGCCCATGCCTGTGCTAATCTATCTGGAGAATGCTGGATTGGGAAAAGTGAATTTACACTATTTTTCTGTTTGTGAGAGATCTCTCTTGCAGAAAGGAGAGTAGACTTTGCAGACATAGTTGCTTCTATGACTTCATCACACCAGACAATGAATCCACTTTAAATCTGGTTTTTGCCTCCTGTAGAATTCTGGGGTTTGTAGTTCAGTGAGGCTGTTAAAGGCTCTTCCCTAAACTACAAACCCCAGAATTCTGCAGGAGGCAGCAACCGGATTTATAGTGGATTCATACTCTAATGCAGACATGGGCAAACTTGGGTCCTCCAGGTGTTTTGGACTTCAACTCCCACAATTCCTAGCAGCCTCGGGCCCTTTCCTTTTCCCCCTCAGCTGCTTAAGCAGCTGAGGGGGGAAAGGAAGGGGCCTGAGGCTGCTAGGAATTGTGGGAGTTGAAGTCCAAAACACCTGGAAGGCCCAATTTGCCCATGCCTGCACTTGTGTGATGAGGTCCCTAGATATGGAAAGTTTCCCAAGAATTTTCTCAACTTTACTCAAATCACTGTTTGGATAACAATGGGAATAGGGCCCTTCTTGTGTCCATTATTGTCAGATCCCGAGAGTTGTATGTGCAGATTGCGACAATCCCAGAATTTTTACGTTTCTTCTAAATGTGTTTTCATGGGATTGTTTCTGCTTCTGGAAACGAGAGGCCCTTGCAAGTAGACTTAAGGAGACGGGAAATGTCCCTTTGCAAAGTTTGCTAGGTATTGTTTAACTCTAGAGTAGGAGTGTGCTTCGGTGCATAACCATTCACAAAAGAAGACATCCTCCCTACGCGGATATTAACGAGCACAAGTTGATCATGCGGTCTGGCGACTGAAGGTAGTTTGTTGTATGTGTGTTCCTTCCGAAACCAATCTTTCTTGGCTCTGTTTGATTCTCCAAGAGCATTTCACTGGTGTGTTCGAGATTAAAAAAATGCATTTCTCCTTTGTTTTTTTGCTTCCTTTTTCCTGCACATGCTGGTCCCTAAAGAACTGCCCTTGTTCTCTTTTTACAGCAATAATAATGATGGTGATGATGATGATGATGATAATAAAAAAGATTGCCAGTAGATTATTCATACATGGCAAGATTAAGCTCTGGACAGTTTTGTCCCTTCTGCTGCACTAAACCGCTTGGAATTTGCAAACTTGTTTTTGTTTTCTTTTTTTTTATACTCTTAGCTCAAGCATCAAAGTTTGATCAAGACGAAGCCAATATAGCTCACGTTTTAGTATCTTTTTTAAAGAAATGAGTATCTGGTGATGTGTGTGTTTTTTCCCTGTTTTTTTAAAAATTCAGACATATAAATTATACCTTTTAGTAGGAGAAAAGAAACACGTGTAATTTTTTTTTCCCATGTCAGAAGCAACTTGAGAAAGTGCAAGTTGCTTCTGGTGTGAGAGATTTGGCCATCTGCAAGGATGTTGCCCAGGGGATGTTGCCCTGATGTTTTGATGTTTACCATCCTTGTAGGAAGCTTCTTTCATGTCCTTGCATGGGAAGCTGGAACTGACAGAGGGAGCTCATCCCCAATCTCCCAGGATTTGTACCTCTAACCTGTCGGTCTTCAGTCTTGCTGGCACAAGGGTTTAACCCAGTGGTTCACAATCTGGGGTTCCCAGATGTTTTTGGCCTTCAACTCCCAGAAATCCTAACATCTGGTAAACTGGCTGGGATTTCTGGAAGTTATAGGCCAAAATATCTGGGGACCCCAGGTTGAGAACCACTGGTTTAACCCATTGTGCCACTGATGGCTCCTAACACTTGTAGTTCAATATGTGGATACGAAAATGGTGTTGATTCCATTCCCCTCCCTGATGTTGGTCCCTCTTTCTCTGGGGTTGCTCTGTGTCACTTCTAAACCTTAGATGTATTTGATTTCTGACCTTACCAAACTAATACAACTGGGATCTCCATTCTGCCTACGACCTTCATAATATGCACAGCATAGGCCCGGCGGAAACCATGGTTGAGGCATTGGTTTCTAGGTTACAGATTTCCTCCAGTTGCCCCTTTCCTCTCTCTAGTTCAATGGTTCTCAACCTGAGGGTCTTCAGATGTTTTGGCCTTCAACTTCCAGAAATCCTAACAGTTGGTAAACTGGCTGTGATTCCTGGGAGTTGTAGGCCAAAACACCTGGGGACCCGCAGTTTGAGAACCACTGCTTTAGTTGAAGAAAAGAAACACTTGTAATGTAGTATGTGGTGTTGATTCTGTTCCCCTCCCTGATGGTCCCTCCTTCTCTGAGGTTGCTTTGTGTCACTTCTAAATCTCTGAAGTATTTCATTGTAGACCTTACCAAATCAATAGAACTAGGATCTCCATTCTGCCTAAGACCTTCATAATATGCACAGCGTAGGCCTAGTGGAAACTATGGTTGAGGCATTGGTTTCTGGATTACAGATTTTCTCCAGTTGTCTTTTCCCTCTCTTTAGTGCAGTGGTTCTCAACATTAGAGGACACGTATAGATTCCATACCAATGGGATGGGGCATGTAGTGAGCATCCTTCTATAGGAAAAGGCAGTAATCAATGACCACAATACCCCTAGATCAGTGGTTCTCAACCTGTGGATCCCCAGATGTTTTGGCCTTCAACTCCCAGAAATCCTAACAGCTGGTAAACCGGCTGGAATATCTGGGAATTGTAGGCCAAAACACCTGGGGACCCACAAGTTGAGAACTACTGCCCTAGCGTGAGTTATCTCCTCCTCCCTTTATCATCTTTAGTCAAGGTTTCCTATTACTTTTGTCCCAGATTTAACCAGAGGTTACTCTTAAGTAGGGCTCTGTGGTTGGCCTGAGACACCTTGAGTTAAGGCAGTGGTTCCTAATCTTTGGGCCTCCAGTTGTTTTGGACTTCAGCTCTCCCAGTTCCTAACAGCTGGTAAGATTTCTGGAAGTTGAAGTCCAAAACACTTGGAGGCTCACAGGTTGAGAACCACTGTCTTAAGGCTAAGAAAAGGGAAAGTTCAGGGAGAAAGCAGGGATTGTGTTTTCCCAAAGTCATCCTCTTCACTATGTCTTAAACTGGGGATTGGGAACCTTCAGCTCCACTGAATTTTGGGATTACAGATTTTCTCCAGTTGCCCCTTTCCTCTCTCCAGTGTGAAGTCTCTAAAATTGCCCCAGTATTAACCAGACTTAACTCTTAAGTAGGGCTCTGTGGTTGGCTTGAGAAGCCTTGGTTTAAGGCAGTGGTCCACAAACTTTGGGCCTCCAGGTGTTTTTGACTTCAGCTCCCACAGTTCCCAACAGCTGGTAAGCTGGTTGGGGTTTCTGGAAGTTGAAGTCCAAAACACCCAGAGGCCCAAAGGGTGGGAACCACTGGTTTAAGGCTAAGAAAAGAGGGAGTTCAGGGAGGAAGCAAGGGTGGTGTCCCAAAGCCATCCTCTTCACTAGATCTTAAACTGGAGATTGGGAACCTTCAGCTCCATTGATTTTTGGGGACTATAATTCCAGCAATGTCTTCCTTTGGTGGCTGGGAATTGAAGTCCCAAGAAGTCAAGTGAGCCCAAGAGTCTACATCCCTGATTTAAGGGAGAAGCCATAGTGGGAAGCAATGCGTGCACAGATACGGACCCTCTAGATTTGAGAAATAGTGGGAGGGGGGATGTAGATATGGTAGGAATCCTTCCTTATCAGATCTTACCAAATATTTATATAATTTTCTCCCTGAATACTTATGAGAAGTGTCTTTAAAATGGAGGGGCATCTATTCTAAAATATTGTAGACCATGCATGGGCAAACTTGGGCCCTCCAAATCCCACAATTCCTAACAGCCTCAGGTCCCTTCCTTTCCCCCTCAGAAAGGGGCCTGAGGCTGTTAGTAATTGTGGGAACTGGAGACCAAAACACCTGGAGGGCCCAAGTTTGCCCATGCCTGCTATAGACCAATAGGCCATGGGCACAACTGCTGCAGATGGGGAGATGGAAGAGCTTTGGCAGAAACAGCGATGGGGAGTATGAGACAATGAATGGGGAAAACATTTTGCTTGGACTTTTGTGTGTGTTGGGTGTGTTGCAAGTTCAGTTGTGCTTCATCACACATTTCCAAGAAGTACAAACATCTTTGTGCTCATTGGTTCATGAAGCAGCAGCTTGCAGCCTTTGAATTCGTGAAAGCCGGGTGGGTTTATTAAAATGCTGACTGTGTGAGTCTGGAAATTGTAATCCCCAAAAGTAACTTTACCAAGTCCTGGGAGTTTTTTTAAAAATATTTTTTTAACCTGAAAACGTCATGGGAGAGGCAACCATGACAAGTCCTTGGAAAACTCTATGAGATGGGCTTCTGACCACCAAAGTGGATGATGGAAGTGGCCCACGGAGGCTCCACGGTGACCGCAACTTCTTGACCCCCTTCCCCACTTCTGGTTTAATGGGAAACCCCCGGGAGCCTGTGATGTTATGTCACTCAGTGGGTGGAGCTTGCCTCTAGCCCCACCCTCTTAACAGGATGATGTCGGAAGGGAGGGGGCTTATAGCTGGACCGACTATGGGGGAGGGGGTCTCAATCTTGGCGTATGCACCTTCCCACCCCAATCCAATTTGCCCACTTTGTCTTCACTCACGGAGACTTAATTCTGGTACAGTATTACTTCACTTCTTGCCTGCATGCTGTGGATACCTTGGTTGTCATCCCTGGAGTAGACCTCCAAACTCAACCAGTGAAATTATGTAGAATCTATTTATTTACTTTCACCTCTGTCTAACCCAGGTCTAGCAGACGAGAGTATCCATGCTGGCTCTTCCCCAGTATTTTTGTTTTTGTCATTTTTTTAATGATCCTCAACTACCTTCATTATTAGAGTTCTAGGCACATGTCTATTGGTGGTAGTATGTTTTGGGAGGTTTTTATTTTTGGCTTGGGATACTATTAAGTGCTAGACAACTACTTTGTTTCTTGAGGTTCAAAAGTGCCAATGATGACGATGATGATTATTATTATTTTGTTAAGAAATTATTTCTAACCTTTTTTTTAACCCTTACGGATCAGAGGGTTTTTATTTTGGGTAAATTCTGAACTTGAATCTAGAAAAAAAAATCAGTTGGTATTTTTTTAAACTTAGTTAATATTCTTAAGGATGACAGTGGTGTATTAATATAACAGGAACTTCTACACAATTTTGGTGTACTGTAGATTTTAATGAAAGATGTAAAATATTCAGCCTTTTTTTTCTTTGACTTTGTATTTTACTGCATGTATTTCTCTAATTTTTAATCAATAAAAAAATTGTCCAAGGCTTTGGGAATGGTCTGTGTGTTGTGCCTATGTCGTACCCCAGAGCAGAATCACCTCTGATTTTAAACACCACACCAGTTGGGTAAAATCAGCAAGCAGTTTATTTAGGAACATATGTAGCCATAGCAATAAAAAGTAATACACAGTAAAAAGTCATCCAATTGATATAAAGGAAGACAGGAACAAAGAGTCAAGGAAATCCATGAAACTAAGCACTTGTATCCATGAAAAACATAGAACATATATAAAAAAGACAGGAACAAAGAGTCAAGGAAATTCATTAAACTAAGCCCTTGTATCCATGAAAAATAGGGCTGTCCAACCACGGAAAAATTTGTTTCTAAATTCGATTCGTTTTTAGGGGTTTTTTGCATTTCGTTATTTAAAATAATTCCGAAATCTTTCTTTTAAAAAGTTCGATATTTACGAAATTCGGAAATTACGAAACAATTTCGAAACAATAACAAATCGATTCGTTAATGGCGGACGCAATTGCGCAATACGCTAAAAAACCCTCCAAATGGGACAGGGGGAACTTCTGAAGCTTCCCTCTCCCTCCGTTGTTGACTGTTGGTGTGATAATTTTTTATCACTGATAAAACAAACAACGACTATAAAACTTGCACCAGACATACGGAAATAATAACGAAATAATAACGAAACAATTTCGAAACATTACGAAACGAATTGGAAAAATTCGTTTCGTTTTTTAGTTGCTCCTGAATGGTTCAATATCGCTTCGTTATAAAAAAAAATAACGAATTACGAAATTAACGAACGAAACCACCCAGCCCTAATGAAAAACACAGAGCTAGGCAGACCTTGGTTCTGGGAACTTGCCGTTAATCCGACATCGCTTTAACTGAAGCAGTCGTCCCTCACAAATCATTTATAAACCCTTCCCTGACTCCAAAACTGCTAGGAACGGGTTCTTTCTCAGTTTCGGTTTCCTATCTAACTTCTGAAGTCTAGCTGCATGGACTGTCTCTATTTACTGAAACTTCTTTTCCTATTTAAGGTCTCGCTCCTCTAATTAACTCCTGCACCTGGTACCTCAGAATCAACTTCATTCTCAGATAACTGACCAGGGAACTGTGACGAAAAGCTTTTCCCAAGCCAGAGGCCTTGAGAATCCTCTTGCAGTGACTCAGGCCTCTCATCCCCTCATCCCCAGACCCTGTCCCAAAAGCCAAATCAACATCCCCATTTTCTTCAGGAACATCAACATGAACATTGGACGCAATCAGGATTCACTAGAGAGCACGAGCCCAGAAAAGGAGGCCACTTTCATCCCAAACACCCCGCTCATCTTGGTGTTCTTGTAGCATGATAAGCTTGGGGGGGGGGGGGGTGTGTGTGTATGCCAGGAGTGACTTGAGAAACTGCAAGTCGTTTCTGGTATGAAATAATTGGCTGTCTGCAAGGACTTTGCCCAGGGGACGCCCGGATGTTTTACCATCCTATGGGAGACTTCCCTCATGTCCCTGCATGAGAAGCTGGAACTGACAGATGGGAGCTCACCCTGTTCCCCAGATTCTAACCACTGACCTTTCGATCAGCAGTCCTGCCAGCACAACAGGTTAACCCATGACAAGTTATACAAAATATATTTAAAATGCTTTCTTTGTTCTGCATATGAATAGCAAGACCTTTGTGAAAAATCCGAAAGCACAATTATGACTTTCAAAGGTAAGTCAATATTTTTGTATGGAAAAAAAAAAAAGATTATTAGCCGCAAGAAAATTAACATCAAGTTGTTCTCAGCAAACATATATTGCAATGAAGCTGGACACAAGTTACCTTGAATTTGATGCAAATTACTCAAATTCTTTTATTTTTTTTTCTCTTATACAGGTGCCATATTATGTGTAAGCTTGTTTAGGTAAAGGTAAAGGTTTTCCCCTGACATTAAGTCCAGTCGTGTCCAATTCTGAGGGTTGGTGCTCATTTCCATTTCTAAGCCGTAGACCTGGCATTGTCCGTAGACACCTCCAAAACCATGGCCAGCATGACCGCATGGAGCGCTGTTACCTTTTCGTCAAAGTGGTACCTATTGATCTACTTACATTTGCATGTTTTCAAACTGCTAGGTTGGCAGAAGCTGGGGCTGACAGCAGGAGCTCATGCCACTCCCTGGATTCGAATCTGTGACCTTTCAGTCAACAAGTTCAGTAGCTCAGCGGTTTAACCCACTGCACCACTGGATGCTTGTTTAGCCCAAGTTAATAGCCTTCTAGGCTTTCTCCATGTGAATAAATAGTTTGCTTTTGGAATAAAAAGAATTACACTATGCAACACAATATTTGTTCCTGAGTTATAAATGTCATTCTCCAGAGTCATAGTCCAATACACCAGTTCTCTTGAAGTCAGCAATTTGGAATAGATACCAAGTTGTCAAGATTTAAGTATTAACGTACAAAGTGTGCCAGGAATCCATTACCTCTAGTTATGCTGAAGTTCACTGCTTTTGGAAAACGACAAATGCATCGTCTTGCCTCTGTGAAGAATGCCAGGCAGTTAATAGGTTACACAGCTTGGTTGCAGAATTGAAGTTGTCTTGGATTGTGTTAACTAGGATTGCCATTATTATTATTGCGCACCATGTCAAAGTTTATTTTTGGATTAAACATTACTTCTAGGAATTATTTGAAGGATCTTTCGGTGGGTAAATTACAGTGACGGAAGAAAGGGAAAGAAGGCGAGTTTGAGAGTGCAACGACTGACCATGACGAGTGTTGGGGAAGTAATCAACGCGCTCAATGGTTTTGGGCGATTCCAGCATTATTTGGTGGCATTGCTGACTCTGAAGTCTATTTCCCACCCCTTTCATATCTTTGGCCAGTTATTCATGGTTGCCGAAGACCCTCATTACTGTCGGACAACCTGGTTCAGTGCCGTCGGCTCAAATCTGACCGAAGAGGAACGGCTGAACTTGACCCTCCCAAGAAAACCCGATGGAAGCCTGGAAGAATGTTTCATGTTCACTCCAGTGGAACGGGATCTCGATGCCATCGTAGAATATGGCCTCAATGCTACCGAAAAGTGTCGAGAGGGATGGGTCTACCCTTTGAAGAGAGAACCGTCATTGGTCACTCAGGTTTGGTGGTTTTACTTTCTTCCAGAATTGATTCCAGGCTTCTGTAACAGTGGAGACTTTCAGTGCACATGGGCCTCCATGTTTGTGGATTTGGCTTTTGTGGACTTGATTCTTCACAGGTTTGATTAATGTGCTTTTTCTAGAAATCCCTACGTCATCAGGCGTAATTCTGGTAAACTTCTGAGTTGTTCTTCAGAACCTAGAGCAGTGTTTCTCAACCTGGGGGTTGGGACCCCTGAGGGGGTCGCGAGGGGTGTCAGAGGGGTCTCCAAAGACCATCAGAAAACACAGTATTTTCTATTGGTCATGGAGGTTCTGTGTGGGAAGTTTGGCCCAATTCTATCGTTGGTGGGGTTCAGAATGTTTTGATTGTAGGTGAACTATAAATCCCAGCAACTACAACTCCCAAAAGTCAAGGTCTATTTTCCCCAGGCTCCACCAGTGTTCACATTTGCGCATATTGAGTATTTGTGCCAAGTTTGGTCCAGATCCACCATTGCGTGAGTCCACAGTGCTCTCTGGATATAGGTGAACTACAACTCCCAAACTCAAGTTTAATACCCACCAAACCCTTCCAGTGTTTTCCGTTGGTCATGGGAGTTCTGTGTGGCAAATTAGGTTCAAATCCATCACTGGTGGAGTTCAGAATGCTCTTTGATTATAGGTGAACTATAAATCCCAGCAACTACAACTCCCAAATTACAAAATCAATCCTCCCCCAACCCCACTAGCATTTACATGTGGGTGCATTGGGTATTTGTGCCCAGTTTAGTCCAGTGAATGAAAATACATCTTGCATATCTGATATTTACATTATGATTTATAATAGGAGTAAAATGACTGTTATGAAGTAGCAACAAAAACAATGTTATGGTTGGAGGTCACCACAACATGAGGGACTGTATTAAGGGGTCACGGCATTAGGAGGGTTGAGAACCACTGGACTAGAGCATTCAGAACCTAGAGCAATTTCTGAGTTGTTCTTCAGAACTAGAGCATTCCTAGAGAGAAAACTTTTATGGGTGTTTCTAGGTCCAGAATGATTTTATTGGATGTTGACCATAGTGTCCCCACTTCCAGAAGGTCCTGCGCTTCTAAACCCAATGAATGTGTGGGAGTGACTTTAGAAATACAAAGGAATAGGACTTAGAATGACCAAAATTCCTGAGAATAATTCATAGGTCCCAGTCCTGAGATAAGAGTGGGGCACTACTATTATTATTATTTGATACACAACAAGATTAGTACACAGCAAACTAGATCACTATGCTGGCTGTTGTATTGGATCACACATGAGTCACTTCCCAGGGGTACTTCCCAGGAGCCCCCGGAGACGCAGTGGGTTAAACCCTTGTGCCGGCAGGACTGAAGACCGACAGGTCGCAGGTTCGAATCCAGGGAGAGGCGGATGAGCTCCCTCTGTCAGCTCCAGCTCCTCATGCGGGGACATGAGAGAAGCCTCCCACAAGGATGGTAAAAGATCAAAACATCCTGCCGTCCCCTGGGCAACGTCCTTGCAGATGGCCAATTCTCTCACACCAGAAGTGACTTGCAGTTTCTCAAGTCACTCCTGGCATGACCAAAGTGTCTAGGACTGTGTGATGTATCGGTGAATAGTGCATGAACATCCAAATAGGGTGGCCTTTTGCAGCTGACATTATGTTTCTTTGCGGAGCCCTAAGGTTGCGCAGGGGTTAAACCCCTGTGCCGGCAGGACTGAAGACCGACAGGTCGCAGGTTCGAACCCGGGGAGAGGCGGATGAGCTCCCTCTATCAGCTCCAGCTCCTCATGCGGGGACATGAGAGAAGCCTCCCACAAGGATGATAAAAACATCAATTAATCCTGGCGTCCCCTGGGCAACGTCCTTGCAGACGGCCAATTTTCTCACACCAGAAGCGACCTGCAGTTTTTCAAGTCGCTCCTGACACGACAAAAAAAACTGCAGGCCAACCTAACCGTTTGAAAACATGCAGATGTGAGTAGATCAATAGGCGGGAAGGCAACGATGCTCCATTTAGTCATGCCGGCCACATGACCTTGGAGGTGTCTACGGACAACACTGGCTCTTCAGCTTAGAAATGGAGATGAGCACCAATCCCCAGAGTCGGACACGACTAGACTTAATGTCAGGGGAAAACCTTTACCTTTACCTAAAACCAACACACAATTAATAAGCGAGAGTGTCCCTGCCTCCAACTGCCATATCTTTGTATTTTTGTAATTTTTGGATCTGCACCCACTGTATAGTCTTCTCAAAGCAGTAGAGTCTTCCAGATTATGCAGAGACTCAGCACCTCGGTTTATAGCAACTGAAATAGGCTGAGAAAAAAGAGGGAAGGAGGGAGGAGGAGAGAGAAACCAGGACATTAAAAGCAGATGTAAAAATGGCAGGGATTATTCGGGACTGTGTCTCCCAGATTCATAGAATCATAGAATCAAAGAGTTGGAAGAGACCTCATGGGCCATCCAGTCCAACCCCCTGCCAAGAAGCAGGAATATTGCATTCAAATCAGCCCTGACAGATGGCCATCCAGCCCCTGTTTAAAAGCTTCCAAAGAAGGAGCCTCCACCACACTCCGGGGCAGAGAGTTCCACTGCTCAATGGCTCTCACAGCCAGGACGTTCTTCCTCATGTTCAGATGGAATCTCCTCTCCTGTAGTTTGAAGCCATTGATAGGACCTTCTTGAGTTCCCTATGAGTAAACTCTCTTTCTTTCCCTTTCTTCAGTTTGACCTTGTATGTGACCGGAAAGATTTGAACAGCATCTCGCAATCCATTTTTATTTTGGGAATTCTAGTTGGAGCCATGGTGTTTAGTCCATTAAGCGACAGGTAAGGGAGAAAACTCCATCCTTGGTGAAGAGCAGCCAGACACTGAGTTGTTGTAGGTTTTTCTGGGCTATATGGCCATGTTCTAGAGGCATTTTCTCCTGACGTTTCGCCTGCATCTATGGCAAGCATCCTCAGAGGTAGTGAGGTTTCTGGCCAGACACTGCTTAGTTAAAAGGAGCTCAGAATTCAGCTTGAGAATGTGTTGCCTTTAACTAGTTTAAATATGTGTCTTCTCCTTCTCAGGTTCGGCCGGCGACCGATTATTTTGTTGTCAATGCTGATTCAAGGCACAGCTGGCGTTGCGGTGACTTTTGTACCAAATTTTACCGCCTATATTGCTCTCCGATTTATTGTGGGTGCATCCATTTCCGGCAGCTTAATAAGTGGCATCGCTCTAGGTAGGAACTGGGTGATTGTCCAGTGCTCAAACCACTATTCTTTAGCATGCTCTCTTAATGGTCTACAAGCCATCCCCGGCCACACATTGCTGTGTATATGTGTGTTGTGTGTATATATATGTGGTTTTGCGCATGCATTGTAATGTATTTTTTATTTTTTGGCTTTTAACGTCTCTTCCACTGTGTTTTTCAATGTTTTTATGAGTGATAGTCACTCGTTGGCCTGATAGGTGTATTGTGTCCAAATTTGGTGTCAATTTGTCCAGTGGATTTTGAGTTATGTTAATCCCACAAACGAACATTATATTTTTATTTATATAGACTAGCCGTCCCTTGCCACACGTAGCTGTGGCCCAGTCTGTGAATATGTGTTTTGTGTGTGTATATATGTGTTTATGTCTGTGTATATATTTGTGTATATATGTGTGTTTGTGTGTATGTATATGTGTGTATACATGTCTACGGAGCCCCCGGTGGCGCAGTGGGTTAAAGCACTGAGCTGCTGAGCTTGTTGATCGAAAGGTAGCAGGTTCGATTCCGGGGAGCGGCGTGAGCTTCCGCTGTCAGCCCTAGCTTCTGCCAACCTAGCAGTTCAAAAACATGCAAATGTGAGTAGATCAATAGGTACCGCTCCAGTGGGAAGGTAACGGCGCTCCAGGCAGTCATGCCGGCTACATGACCTTGGAGGTGTCTATGGACAACGCTGGCTCTTCGGCTTAGAAATGGAGATGAGCACCAACCCCCAGAGTCAGACATGACTGGTTTTAATGTCAGGGGACTACCTTTACCTTTACCTTACATGTCTACATATTTGTGTATTTGTGATTATATGTGTATATGTATATTGTGTATACGCAAATGCTTGTGTATATCCATATATGTGTGTATATATGTGTGTAGGAGTATATGTATGTGTGTGTATAATGTATGTGTATATTTGTGTGTGCTTGCGTATATATGTCTGTCTGTATGTGTGTATGCGTATATGTATATTTCTGTGTTTATATGTATTTTGTGTATACGTATACATATGTGTATATGTATACAAATGTATATGTATGTGTATATATGGTTTATTTGGGGGGGGAGGGTTAAAGTCCATTCTGCTGGTTTTTTGTGTGTTTTTAGAGGTGATGGTCACTCATTGGCCTAATAGGTGTATTGTGTCCAAATTTGGTGTCAATTCGCCCAGTGGTTTTTGAGTTATATTAATCCCACAAAGGAATATTACATTTTTATTTATATAGATGTCATAGAATCATAGAATCMTAGAGTTGGAAGAGACCTCATGGGCCATCCAGTCCAACCCTATTCCGCAAAGAAGCAGGAAAATCGCATTTAAAGCACCCCGACAGATGGCCAACCAGCTCCTGCTTAAAAGTCTCCAAAGAAGGGGCCTCCACCACACTCCAAGGCAGAGAGTTCCATTGCTGAACAGCTCTCACAGTCAGGAACTTCTTCCTAATGTTCGGGTGGAATCTCCTTTCTTTCCTGTAGTTTGAAGCCATTGTTCCATTGCGTCCTAGTCTCCAGGGCAGCAGAAAACAAGCTTGCTTCCTCGTCCCTATAACTTCCCCTCCCATTTTGATCCATGGCCTTCATCATGTCTCCTCTCAGCCTTCTCGTCTGCAGGCTAAAAATGCCCAGCTCTTTAAGCCGCTCCTCATAGGGATTGTGATAAATGATAAAAGTTGAGCTAAAACTGTCTGTTGTGTTGTTATAAGTAAAAATACAGATGTGATTGCTTGAATTCCCATACCCCATGTCATTGTTTTCATAGGTGCTGAATGGGTCGAGACAACCTATCGTCCACTCACATTGATCTTCAGCCATGTTGGCTTTGCAGCAGGGCAGATGGTGCTGGCGGGCTTAGCTTATGCCCTTCGAGACTGGAGGAAGCTGCAGATTGTAGGCTCTGCTCCCATTTTTGCCTTCTTTTTTTACTTCTGGTGAGTAAAGGATCAGAGCAGGGCTCCTCAAACTTTGGCCCTCCAAGTGTTTGAGATGTCGGTTTCTAGAATCTTTCAGCACTGGCCAAATTGGCAAGGCAGTTTGGGAGCTAAGGTCCAAACACTTGGAAGTCCAACGTTTGAGAAGCACTGGGTTAGACTAAGACAAATAAAGCATGCAACAAAATGGTGTTGTGTTGTTGAAGGCTTTCATGGCCAGAATCACTGTCAGTTTTGTGTTGTTGAAGGCTTTCATGGCCAGAATCACTGTCAGTTTTGTGTTGTTGAAGGCTTTCATGGCCAGAATCACTGTCAGTTTTGTGTTGTTGAAGGCTTTCATGGCCAGAATCACTGTCAGTTGCTGTCAGTTTTCCAGGCTGCATGGCTATGTTCCAGAAGCATTCTCTCCTGACGTTTCACCCATATCTATGGCAGGCATCCTAAGAGGTTGTGAGGTATGTTGAAAACTAGGCAAGTGGACATTCCACCGATACATAAGCCCTACTTGCCTAGTTTCCAACAGTCCTCACAATCTCTGAGTATGCCTGCCATAGATGTGGGTGAAACGTCAGGAGAGAATGCTTCTGGAACATAGCCAGACAGCCCAGAAACCTCACAGCAATCTGAGCAATGATTGTTTTTGGGTTGGTGGGCATGCAGCCCTACCCCCCAAAATAAGCTCTGTACCTTGGATCATTTCTTTCAAGTTCAGATAAAAACCTTGAGCAGTAAAGTGCGTTTAGGGACATATTGCTGGGAGTTTCCTTATTCTGGGAAGGCACACTGGAACAACCACGTTTTCAGGCTCCTCCTAAAGACTGCCAGAGTTGGGGCATGCCTAATGTCCCTGGGGAGTGAGTTCCAGAGTCGAGGGGCCACCACCGAGAAGGCTCTCTCCCTCGTCCCCACCAGTCACGCTTGCGATGGTGGTGGGAGCGTGAGCAGGGCCTCTCCAGATGATTGAAGAAGAACTTAAAAGGATAAGTGGAAACTCAAGGATGGGCAAGCAAGTCCATCACTAATTTATTATTATTATTATTATTATTATTATTATTATTATTATTATTATTATTATTTCAGTTATTTCTGCACATTTTTCAGGGTCCTTCCAGAATCTCCTCGTTGGTTGGTAACAAAAGGGAAGATAGAAGAAGCGAAGAAGCTCTTGCAGAAGGCGGCTGCAGTGAATAAACGAAGCATCCCGCCAAAAACTTTAGATCAGGTGAAGAAGGGCGGGATTTGTAACTTTCCATTCCACACCACAACAAACCTCAACTAACGTGCTAAAAACCTTTGTTGGCCTCTCTTGGCCTACCAGTTTTATATTATTGCTTGTATTGTGATTTCACTCTGTTATTATAGATTACATTTGGGCCCTTGGTATCTACTAGGGTTTGGACCCAGGATCCCAAGTGGATATCAAAATCTATGGATGCTCAAATCCCATCATATACAACGGTGTAGTAAAATGGAGTCCCTTATATAAAACTAGATGCCCCCCTGCCACGCGTTGCTGTGGCCCAGTCTGGTGATCTGGAAAATAAAGTAATGAGAAAGTGTTGGTTTCTAATATATGTAATTTCTTTATGCTTGTGGGTAAACAGTATTTCTTGCTGTTTCTTTGTCAGTGTTGATGTGGAGATTGTCTGGTTTGCCTACTCTGGAACATGCAACATATAATTGTCCTTCTTTAGGGTCCCTTTCAAATCTATGATACTATATCTCTCTCTGTGTGAATCATATCTATCTATCTATATCTATGGCTGGATGGCTCTTTGTCAGGAGGGCTTTGATTACGTTTTCTTGCCCTGGTGAAGGGTGTTGGACTGGCCTTAAGTATTTTCTGATGGTCATGGGAGTTCTGTGTGGGAAGTTTGCCCCAATTCTGTCGTTGGTGGGGTTCAGAATGCCCTGATTGTAGGTGAACTATAAATCCCAGCAACTACAACTCACAAATGTCTAGGTCTATTTTCCCCAAACTCCATCTGTGTTCATATTTTGGCGTATTGAGTGTTTGTGCCAAGTTTGGTCCAGATCCATCATTGTTTGAGTCCACAGTTCTCTCTGGATGTAGGTAAACTACAACTCCCAAGCTCGAGGTCAATGCCCACCAAACCCTTCCTGTATTTTCTGTTGGTCATGGGAGTTCTGTGTGCCAAGTTTGGTTCAATTCCATCATTGTGGAGTTCAGAATGCTCTTTGATTGTAGGTGAACTATAAATCCCAGCAACTACAACTCCCAAATGACAAAATCATAATTTTTTGAGTGATGGTCACTCCTTGTGCTGTGAGACATTTTGTTGCCAAATTTGGTGTGATTTCATTCATTGGTTCTTTTGTTTTTAAGGTACTCATTATGCACAGAGCATTTTTACATATATAGATGGTTTGCTTTTTGGGATTTTAATATTTTCAACCCATGGATGGTTCTGTCTCTGGATGCAGGATCTCTGGCTATGGAGGGCCAACTGTATGTACCAAAATGGGTTTGCTAGCTGTGTTTAATGACACAAGTGAATAACTCAGTTTTGAAAGACACCGTGAATTTTTGGGGGAAGTGAAATAATTCTGAGGTGCCCCAACTTGCATTATGTTCTCTTGCATATCTTTAGTTCTCTTGCATATCATTATGTTCTCTTGCATATCTTTAGTGAAGTCTTTGGCATACAATGACAGCTCTTGAGATTAAAAAGAGACCCTTTTATTTATTTTGTGTCAAAAGCATTGCATAAATAAATAAGTTCAAAAGTAACAAAATAAAGGAAGCACAAGCAGCTAAATAGTTTTAGACCAAAAACGGACAACAGTGACTGCTGTCGGGATTCAGCCTATGCTTGAACTTGTGAATGTGTTTCAGTCTCCCGATGTTTCTGTGTCTGATGTGGGTAATGAGGAGGGAAATCAGTCTCCTGTTGCTTCTGATGTGGGGGATGCTGGGACTGACTCTGAGGTGCAAGATGGAGACACTTTGGTCAATGAGTGTCATGCAGACACCGACAGAGAGGCTTCAGTGCAAAGGGCAGATTCTCATGAGAATGCTTCTGTCAGGCTTTGGGAGAAAGGTTTACTCCCTCCGTCTGTGAGTCCTTCAGATTCTAGTTTGGAAAACAGTCCGACACCTGATAAAGTTAATGAGGAATCAGATAAGCAGAGTTGGCAGCTGGAGATTAGCCAGAATCGACAAGAAGCCCAATGTTTACGTAGATCCGAAAGAATTAGTCAATAAACGTCAAAGATTGGGGGAAAACGAAACCAGTTCTTGGGATTTAAGGCTTGCCGGTAGAAAAATTTGTCAGATCAGGCATTGTTTGGAAACCTAGCACAAGCCTCATGGAATTCCTGTTCAAGTGATCTCGTCTTCATGGTTTTTTCTAGCCTTGCAACTTGACTAGCAGCGTCTGGTCTGTTCTTGCTTCTTGGTTTATTCCTGTCTGGATTATCAGTGCCTTGGAATATTATTTTATGCTTTTTGAACATTGCTTTTGAATGCTACATTTGGACGCTGTGTCTTCTTCCTGCGTTTATTTATTTAGAGCTTTTATAACCCAGTCTTCTCAACCTCCGAAGAGGGACTCAGGAAAAATTCATACACAAATAAGCTAAAACATAATAACATCATAATACATTAATACATTAAATTTCATTACAAAACAGATCAAATAATTTCATACAGCCAAATTGTCAAGGTAAAATCACAAATTCATCACCATCCGCCAGTGTGGTTGGCCGTTACTGACTCGATCATCATTCTGAGAATGCTATATCCCAGAGCCAAGATTTTAGCAGCTTTCTGAAAGTCAGGAGGGAAGGGGCAGATCTAATCTCCACCGGGAGAGAGTTCCAGAGTCAAGGGGCCACCATTGAGAAGGCCCTGTCCCTTGTCCCCACCAGACGCGATTGCGAAGGTGGTGGGACCGAGAGCAGGGCCCCTCCAGAAGATCTTAAAAACCTTGATGGTTCATAGGGGAGAATCCGTTAAGACAGGTAAACTGGGCCGGAGCCATTTAAATAGCTTATTGCTTTTTTGGAATCTTATCTATCTTTACAAGCATTTATTTCTACTGGCTTTTTGCTAAGCTTTAATAAAAAGGATTGTTCCTTCACTCAACGTGTGGTGTGTTTATAGTCAGAGGGGCCATTTCCTGTTCTGGAGTGCAACAACTGCATTGTCTGTAGCTTCAAACAGTTCTTCCTCTGTGCATGAGGCAGGGCGTAGTGGGCAAGCATACAGATGTGAAGTTGTTCTGCTCCACGGTCACACAAGGTGGAGGATTCTTTTAGGTCAGTGGTTCTCAACCTACCTAATGTTGCGACCCCTTAGTACAGGTCCTCATATTGTGGTGACCCCCAACCATCAATTATTTTTGTTGCTACTTCATAACTGTAATTTCGCTACTGTTATAATTTGTAATGTAAATATCTGATATGCAGGATGGATTTTCATTCACTGGACCAAATTTGGCACAAATACCCAATACGCCCAAATTTGAATACTGGTGGAGTTGAAGGAGATTGATGTTGTCATTTGGGACAATCAGAGAGCTTTCTGAACTCCACCAACGATGGAATTGAATCAGACCTGGCCACACAGAAATCCCATGACCAACAGAAAATGCTAGAACGGCTTGGTGGGCATTGACCTTGAGTTTGGAAGTTGTAGTTCACCTAAATCCAGAGAGCACTGTGGACTCAAACAATGATCAATCTGGACCAAACTTGGCACGAACACTAAATATGTCCAAATGTGGACTCTGGTGGAGTTTGGGGAAAATAGACCTTAAAAGGAAGAGGGGCCGACCAAGGGCAAGATGGATGGATGGCATCCTTGAAGTGACTGGACTGACCTTGAAGGAGCTGGGGGTGGTGATGGCTGACAGGGAGCTCTGGCGTGGGCTGGTCCATGAGGTCACGAAGAGTCGGAAACGACTGAACGAATGAACAACAAAGACCTTGACATTTGGGAGTTGTAGTTGCTGGGATTTATAGTTCACTACAATCAAAGAGCATTCTGAACCCCACCAATGATAGAACTGGGGCAAACTTCCCACACAGAAACCCCCATGACCAACAGAAAATATTGTATATTCTGATGGTCTTCAGGGACCCCTCTGACACCCCTTCAGGACCCCCCCCCCAGGGGTCCCGACCCCCAGGTTGAGAAACACTGTTTTAGGTAGTGCCATTTTGCCAGGTTGTCTTTTGATATGCCCACTCCACTTTTGAAGCTGTTCAGGGATGGGAGAAAGACCCTCGGGGGGGGGATCCAATTGTGATTTCCTGGTTTAGCTGCCCACAGGGATACTCTTGTTGTTGCTGGGGGAACATTCAGAGGAGTAGTGGTTTTCATGAAGCTTTTCCTTGATTTGAGGCTACTGGGAAGAGGATGATCGCCATGCAGTGGGTGGCTTTCACAGTGTTCAATTTTATTTCTCTCACAGTTAGCAGCCATGCCAGATAGCTTGTAGAGTCTATCAACCAGTGTAGGTTTAAGGCACCCTGTGATTATTCTACATATCTCATTCAGTGCTATATTCACCTGCTTCTGGCATCTTAATCAATGGCATATCCCACCATTAGGACAATAGTATGCTGGAGAACCTGGCATCTCAGATTCTGCTTCCTCCAATTACATTCTGCATTCAATTTCCAATGGAATTTGCCCATAGAATTATGCTGGAAGACCTAGAAATTCTTAAAGAGCTTACCGTAAATAAAAAATAAACCTAATTATTCACTGTTTTTCATATTCATGGGGATCTTTTGCCCCTAATCCTGAGAAAGATTGACTATATTAATTATTTCCTCAAAAAGCCAACCTTGATTTTGTCCTGGTGAAAAAGTATGATGGGGATTTCAGCTCACCACTAGATGGCAAAGTCCAACAAGGCTGCAAATACGCAATTACAGAGAAAGAGCATGCAACAAGTTGTGGTTCTCCAGTACTCTTGATTGTTCCAAGGTCTCAGCAGAAACATTCCCACATAACCAAGAAACCATGGACCTAAATGGGGCATGTGGGCATAGAGACGTAGCGGCTTTTTTCACTCTGTTCTTCTGGCTTTTCTTTCATTTCTTACCAATAGATGAAGCCAGAAAAGGAGGCCAAATCTGGAAGTATTCTGGACCTTGTGAGACATTCCCACCTAAGGAAAGTGACTTTCCTCATATCAACAGCCTGGTAAGCGTTCTCTCTCATCTTACTCTGGGTGCATCTACACTGTAGAATCAATGCAGTTTGACACTACTTTAGGTGGTATGGAATCTTGGCAGCTGTAGTTCAGCGAGGCTCCAACACTCTTTGGCAACAAATCTATATAAATAAAAATGTAATGTTCGTTTGTGGGATCAACAGAACTCAAAAACCACTGGGGGAGTTGACAACAAATTTGGACAGCATACACCTAACAACCCAATGTATGTCCTTCACTCAAAAAAATTGAGTTTGTCATTTGAAAGTTGTAGTTGCTGGGATTTATAGTTCACCTACAGTCAAATTGCATTTCGAACTCCACCAATGATGGAATTGAACCAATTTTGGCACACAGAACTCCCATGACCAACAGAAAACACTAGAAGGGTTTGGTGGGCATCGACCTTGAGTTTGGGAGTTGTAGTTCACCTACATCCAGAGAGCACTGTGGACTCAAACAATGATGGATCTGGACCAAACTTGGCACAAATATTCCATATGCTCAAATATGAACATACATGGAGTTTGGGGGAAATAGACCTTGACAATTGGAGTAGTAGTTGCTGGGATTTATAGTTCACCTACAATCAAAGAGCATTCTGAACTCCACCAACGACTGAATTGGCGCAAACTTCCCACACAGAACTCCCAAGACCAACAGAAAATACTTAAGGCCATCCAGTCCAACTCCCTTCACCAGGTCAAGAAAACTTAATCAAATACTGTTTACCCACAAGCATAAAGAGATTACATATATTAGAAACCAACACTTTCTCATTACTTTATTTTCCAGATCACCAGACTGGGCCACAGCAACACCTGGCAGGGGACAGCTAGTGCTAAATAAAGACCTTGTAAAACGACATCTCCCAGGATTCCATAGCAATGATGGGGGGGGGGGGTAGGTAATTGGTAACGATTGCTTTCAAAAATTGTCATGGCAAGAACAGAAGAGCAATAATGATATGTGGTATGGCCATGTTCCAGAAGCATTCTCTCCTGACGTCAGGAGAGATTGCTTCTGGAACATGGCCATACAGCCCAAAAAACTTACAGCAACCCAGACAGGTGGTAAGCCATCACTGGCAGCACTATGATCTTGGCACAATAGCAATTAGCCTATCTATCTATCCATTCATCCATCCATCCATCCATCTTGGTGTCTAGGCCTGTTCCTGGAGTTATTTAGTATGCTGATTCAGAAAATTGCATTGGATAGACTACATCAACTCTAGTTTCCTAATATGTTTCATGATTTTCTATGGTCAAGCAAATGACAACTGGTAATAATAATAATAATAATAATAATAATAATAATAATAATACCTTTATTTATTCCCCTCTACCATCTCCCGCAGGACTCGGTGCGGCTTACAAGAGGCCGAGCCCAAATACATCAGAAACAAAAAACACAACAACAATACAACAATAAATAACTATTAGCAAAGCAAAACAATAACAAAAATCACGATGCATTTAAAAACCTGTGGCGGGGCCAAATGTAATGCTTAAAAGTTTTAAAAATGCTGGTCATGTCCAGGTGAAATAGGATGGATATTTTAGGGATAAGTGGGTGTGCAGACAATTCTAACTCTCTCGTAAAGTGCATTTGGGACAAGTTGCTTGGGATACCTTAATCTGGGAAGGCACACTAGAACATCCATGTTTTCAAGTTCCTTCTGAAGACTGCCAATGTTGGGGCATGCCTGATGTCCTTGGGGAGGGAGTTCCAGAGTCATGGGGCCACCACCGAGAAGGCCCTGTCCCTCGTTCCCACCAATCGCGCTTGCGATGCAGGTGGGATTGTGAGCAGGGCCTCTCCAGATGAACGAAGAGATCGTGTGGGTTCATATACGGAAATGCGGTCACGCAGGTAGGAGGGTCCCAAACCATTTAGGGCTTTGTAGGTAAGCACCTGCACCTTAAATTGGGCCCAGAAAATGAACGGCAGCCAATGGAGCTCCTTAAACAGGAGGGTTGATGTCTCCCTGTAAGGAGCACCAGTTAACAACCTGGCCGCCGCCCATTGAACCAACTGGAATTTCCGGGCCGTTTTCAAGGGCAGCCCTACGTAGAGTGCATTACAGTAGTCCAATCTGGTAGATGGCATATGTTCTGTATCTCAAACACCAGAGCTGATAATGGAAAACTGGTGCCATTTTTGGACTCACCAGGTCAAACATATCCAGAAACAGATCTAATGTTTGAGGCACCAAAACGTATGCTGGCTAATGTTATTTTTCGCGCCAGAAGGACCAGGGCACTTATTTAGCACAAAGTATCTTTCTATGATCCCAGTGAAAGGGAAAGACACTTCTCTACCTGAGATCTTTGAGAGCTGCAGGAAGATGTAGTATATGCAATTCCGTGGTTTGATAATGTATAAGGCATCTCTATATATGGAAATATAAGATGGAAAATCTTACCAAAATTCTGCGAAATGATTTTATTTTTTAAAAGATACGTTGAATCCCTTGAGGGTTAGAAACTTGCTTTCCCAATGCCGAAGCAATAATTTGCAGCTGGAGAAGGTTCTGTGTGGCATTTGTTGGACTTACGTTGCTCACTATATGCTTTTATTTATATTGTTACTCAACTCTCTGCTTTACAGGTTTGCCAACAGTTTTGCATACTACGGCTTAAGCCTAAATGTGGGTAGCTTTGGCTTGGATATCTACCTGACCCAGCTTATCTTTGGGGCAGTTGAAATACCAGCACGTGGCAGCATTTTCTTTGTGATGCAGTGGATGGGGAGGAAAAAATGCCAATCTTCCTTCTTGCTCCTGGGAGGAGTAGTTTGCCTTCTCGTCCCTGTTATCCCGAAGGGTAAGAAACAAGATAAGGCAATGCTTAAGGGAAGATATCTTACATGACTTGCCTTGAACCACACCATGCACCAGATGTTTCCCAAGGGCAACCCCTTTGTATGTCGTGAATTGAGAAAGCATTGATAGGAATGATCTTGGAGTCCTCGTGGACAACAAGTTAAACATGAGCCAACAATGTGATGTGGCGGTAAAAGGCCAATGGGATTTTGGCCTGCATCAATAGGAGCATAGTGTCTAGATCTAGGGAAGTAATGCTACCCCTCTATTCTGTTTTGGTTAGACCACACCTGGAATATTGTGTCCAGTTCTGGGCACCACAATTCAGGGGAGATATTGACAAGCTGGAATGTGTCCAGAGGAAAGCGACTAAAATGATAAAGGGTCTGGAGAACAAGCCCTATGAGGAGCGGCTTAAGGAGCTGGGCATGTTTAGCCTGAAGAAGAGAAGGCTGAGAGGAGATATGATAGCCATGTATAAATATGTGAGAGGAAGCCACAGGGAGGAGGGAGCAAGCTTGTTTTCTGCTCCCTGGAGACTAGGACGGAACAATGGCTTCAAACTACAAGAGAGGAGATTCCATCTGAACATGAGGAAGAACTTCCTGACTGTGAGAGCCGTTCAGCAGTGGAACTCTCTGCCCCGGAGTGTGGTGGAGGCTCCTTCTTTGGAAGCTTTTAAACAGGGGCTGGATGGCCATCTGTCGGGGTGATTTGAATGCAATATTCCTGCTTCTTGGCAGGGGGTTGGACTGGATGGCCCATGAGGTCTCTTCCAACTCTTTGATTCTATTCTATTCTATTCTATTCTATTCTATTCTATTCTATTCTATTCTATTCTATTCTATGAATGGGCAAATATGTTTGGGGATAGGGGCAAATCTGACATTGTGGAGTCTCCAAATCGGTTTCTTTGCTTGTTGACACTCCCCAACTGAGGCCCCTCTTGGCTGAAGGGGTTTATTGGACTCTTTTTGGTTTGACACCAAGAACGTGTCAGCCTCGTTTGAGCCCTAATTACTAATTTCCTAGAACCACAGAGTTGGATTTTTTTTTTGTCGTGTCAGGAGCGACCGCTCCTGGTGTGAGAGAATTGGCCGTCTGCAAGGACGTTGCCCAGGGGACGCCCAGATGATTTTGATGTTTTATCATCCTTGTGGGAGGCTTCCCTCATGTCCCCGCATGGTGAGCTGGAGCTGATAGAGGGAGCTCATCCGCCTCTCCCCGGATTCGAACCTGAGACCTGTGGGTCTTCAGTCCTGTTGGCACAGGGGTTTAACCCACTGTGCCACCGGGGGTTGGATGCTTGTTCCCAATCTCCAGTCAGCAAAGAAAATCCAACAAGACCTTCACTTTCTTTGGTAGCTATCCATCTTCTTTTTGGAGACATTGAGAGAAGATGGTCATCTCCCTTGTGGAAAGACTTTGGGGCATCTGATAAGCTCTGACCTTCCAAATTGCAAATCTTTTCCTACACTTAGGCAGAAAAGTGGAAATACACCAACATATATGGGTGTCACTTGGCTTGAAAACAATACACATGAAGGAAATTTAGACCACAAGCTAAGCAACGGAACAGTTGCAGCAATTCTTAGACGACACAGCCGGACTAGATCCCTTCCAGTCCGGCTTCCGTGCGGGGCATGGGACAGAGACTGTGCTGGTCTCCATCACGGATCACCTTCGATGCCAGCTTGACCAGGGCGGGTCAGCGCTGCTTGTGTTATTAGATCTCACAGCAGCATTTGACACAGTCGACCACAATCTTTTGACCCACCGTCTTGCTGCTGTTGGAGTCAGGGGGACAGCTTTAAACTGGATGTCCTCCTTTCTTCACAACCATGGACAGCGAGTGGAGAGGGGAGGCCTGGTCTCTGAGAGGTCCCCTCTATCTTGTGGGGTTCCTCGGGGGGGGGGGCATTCTCTCCCCTCTGTTGTTTAACATCTATATGCGACCACTTGCTCAGCTGGTTCAAGATTTGGGGCTTGAGTGTTCCCAGTACGCTGATGACACTCAGCTGGTGCTGAAGATGGAAGGCCGACCGGACTCTGTACCCAATTGTTTCCATCAGTGCCTCGAGGCCATTACTGGATGGCTGCGTGCCAGCAGGTTGAGGGTGAATCCAGCAAAGATGGAGATCCTATGGCTGGGTCAACCGGGCAGTGGGGATATCCAGCTGCCTACCCTGGATGGCGAGGCGCTACGCCCGTCATCATTGGTAAAGAGTCTGGGAGTCCTTTTGGACCCTCTGCTGACGATGGAGGCCCAGGTCTCCGCCGTGAGCAGAACCGCCTTCTTTCACCTGCGGCAGGCTAGACGGCTGGCCCCCTACCTGTCCAGGGACGACCTAGCTACGGTGATCCAGGCCACGGTCATCTCAAGACTGGACTACTGTAACGCCCTCTACATTGGCCTTCCTCTGTCGGTGATCCGGAAGCTCAAATTGGTACAAAATGCAGCTGCTCGGCTTCTTGCGGGAATTCCGATGAGATGCCACATAACACCAATCTTACTGCAGCTGCATTGGTTACCAATTGAGCACCGGATCACTTTCAAAGTGATGGTACTCACCTTTAAGGCCTTGCATGGTCTGGGGCCGATGTACCTGAGGGATTGCCTCACCCCCTACCAACCCCAGAGATCCCTCCCTTCTGAGGACCAAGATCTATTGGAAATTCCCAGTGTCAAGACCTTGCGTCTAACAGCAATGAGATGCAGAGCCTTTACAGCAGTGGCACCATCACTCTGGAATACTCTGCCACCTGAAGTCCGTGCCTTGCGGGACTTATCAGCTTTCCGCAGGGCATGTAAGACATATCTGTTTCGACAGGCCTTTGATCTTTGATATTGCTGTTTTTAAATTGTTTTTAAATTGTGTTAGATTTTAGCCTGTTCTTGTAAGCCACTCCAAGCCCCAGGGGAGTGGCGACATATACGTTTGAATAATAAATAAATAAATAAATAAAATAAACATGACTCCATAGTGTGTTTGGCAACTAAAAAATGCCAATGCGACTCTAGGCTTCATCAATAGCAATATCATGGATAGACTGAGAGAAGCAATAGTCAGGCCTCACTTGGGATACTGGATCTATTTTGGGCAACACAATTCAAGAAGGACATTGACAAGCTGGAAAGGTGACCAAAATGGTTAAAGGTCTACAAGGCAAGCCCTTTGAGGAGAAGCTTAGGGAGCCAGAGTTGAAGGCTGAGAAGAAGGCTGAGAGAAGAGGACATGAGAGTCATGTTTAAACGTTTGAAAGGATGTCACATTGAGGAGGAAGCAGGCTTGTTTTATTGCAGAAAGATTCCTCTGACCATCAGGACCTTCTGATGGTGAACCTTTCAACAGTGGAATAAGTGGAGTCTGGTAGAGTTGACTTTTCTGGAGATTTTTAAACAGAGTCTGGCTCGTGTCTTCCTTCCAGGCAGATTGGGCAAGATTGGATGTCCCTTAGGGTCTCGCCAGCTCCATGATTCTATATCTTGCAGTTCTGTGCCACCAAGCGTTCACATTGCTCTGCTTAATCCATACAAACAGCTTGCAGTGGCTCCATTCCCCCTTCCACGTATCCAAATTAATAATGTGCAGGTGGGAGGAAGACCTCTGTGGAAACTTTCCTAGCTCATGGGCAAGAGTTTCTCTGTCTCTGACACAAGCATTTGATTCCTTAATGAAGTTTCCTGCCTTTTTGTGACTAGGTTGGGAATCTTGTGTTGTCTTCCTTTGTGTTCTTCTTTCATGCTTTTTCCTTCCCAAAGTGTTCTGCTCTTTCAAACAGAAACTTTGGCTTTCTCCGTAGACCTTCCGGTGGTAATAACAGCACTGGCTGTCGCTGGGAAGTTCGCCATTGCTGGTTCCTTCACTACATCCTATGTGTACACCACTGAGCTGTTCCCAACGGTTATCCGGTGAGGCAAATTATGTTAAATTCACACAGAGAGATATAAACACACATGAGATTAATTCTCAGAGGGTTTGGGGAAACAGAATTGGGGAGGGGGGAGGATACTATTATATATTCTTTTGCATTTAAAAGCAAAAATAAAACCCAAATACCAAATGGAGCGTCAGAGACTTCCATTGTGTAGTTTTAAAACTGCCTTGCCTTTGGAGAAGGAAGGAAGAAAGGAAGGAAGGAAGGAAGGAAGGGAGGGAGGGAGGGAGGGAGGGAGGGAGGGAGGAAGGAAGGAAGGAAGGAAGGAAGGAAGGAAGGAAGGAAGGAAGGAAGGAAGGAAGGAAGGAAGGGAAAATCATCCTGAAATGAGAGGTGTGATTATTATGTGAGGAAAATAAAAATACATTTTTGGCACCAAAATAAATGGGGGTGCGACTATTATGTGATGAAATACGGTAGTTCAATTCTGTACAATTTTAGAATATTGATATAGTTTTTCAAATAACTTTAAATGGGCTCAAATATATGGGGATATAGGTCGGCATGAAAGCCTGAAAGATACACTGGCTGGTGCTGTTTGAGTATTCCTTATCTGGAATTCCAGAATCCGGAATGATCCAAAATCTCTCAAATGGGTGGTGGAGATAACCAGCTTTTTTGCTTTCTGAGGGTTCACTGGATACGAATCTTGGTTCACACACACAAAAAAACCACATTGCATTACTTTCAGGCTATGTGCATAAGGTGTACATGGAGCATAAATGAATTTTGTGTTTTGACCTGAATCCCATCTCCTAGATAAGTGTTTGCAAATACAGTTATTCTCAAATCTGAAAAAAAAATCTGAAAGACAAAACACTTCTGCTCCTGAGCATTTCAGATAAGGGATAGTCAAGCTGTATTTCCTCTCTCTTTCTCTCTCTCTCGTTAGTTAGTTATGCATACATCCATACAAACGGAGACATTATTTGCAGTCTATACTCTAGACCAGGCCTGGGCAAACCAAGACATAGAGCTTTCGGGAGAGAACCTACACAATGTTGCTGATTTTTCTCTTTCCCTCTTTCTTGAGCATCGCCCAGGTTCTCTTCCAAAAGCACAATTTGAATACAAAATGCTATCCAAATATCAAAACTGAGAGAATATGCCAACAGAACCGACAGTCATAACAAAACATTGCTGCATCCGCATGTCACCTCCTGCTTTGTTTTCTCTTCTGTAGACAGATTGGAATTGCAGTGTGCCAGACGGTGGCCAGGGTGGCTGCTGTAAGTTCGCCGTTGGCTCACCTCTTGGAGAAATACCACCCCTCCATCCCTTTGCTGATTTTTGGAGGCTCAGCCATCGGGGCTGGGACCCTCTGCTTCTTCCTGCCAGAAACACAGGGAAAAGAACTCCCAGATTACCTGGATGATGTTATCGGCAACCAGAAGTGAGTTCTCTCTGCAATTTGAATGTGATTTCCCCTGTAATCCATGAAAAGTGAACTTGTAGGAAGATAAACCCTACACTTTGTAATAACAATTAGACTTCAAGTGCATCTACAATGTAGAATTAATGCAGTTTGACACCACTTGAACTGCCATGGCTCAATGTTATGTGTGCTGGTACGGCTGTACCAGGTGCTCCTACTTTATTTGCTTTGTATTAAATGTTTATTTGCAGTCCTAGGTTTCAGGGACTCTAATGATAGGTGGCTTCTTTTGGTTGCAGTCATAGGGCAAGTCACCTGTCCATCATCATTAAGTTTTAGTTCCGCCCCTTGCTCAGGGCAATTGGGAAGGGAAGGGAACCATTTTTAGTTAGTCTCAGCAAGGAAAGCTAATGTACAGGACGTGTGCAAGCTTCCCCTGTACAAAAGCTTCAACTCATAAGACCTTCCGGGGGAGAACAGTCTTAAGAGTCTCCAAAGATTTCCAGGGAAACAGACCTAAAGACCAAAGAGCTCCAGCTGGAGAACATCTAAGCCTTTACTGGTAGGTCCACTCGACGTTCGAGAAGCAGTTTGACTCGGTAGCGGAGCCCACATCTTCTACCTCAAGCCATTCTATATAGGGTGCTTCTCAAAAGAGACAATTTGTGCCATTTTTTTCTGCCTTTCATAAGGCAAGTAGGGCATTGAGTCTCCTTTGCGGATGGTGTCCAGGCAGAGCAGTTGGTCTTTTGCAAAGGATGCTCTGTATTAAGGTTAGGGTGGGCTAGCATAGGGCTTCTCAAACGTTCCAACTCAACACCCTTTTGGTCTGAGAAATTTTTATGTGACCCTGTATATATCGATATCAGCATTTGCAAGAAAGGCTGGTTTTCTTTTTTTTATGAAGTATAGCTAAAGCATCTTCTGCAGAGTCCAATGTAAAGGCTGCACCACAGATTTGTGCAAATATCTAAAACAGTCATAAGGTTTCATTCAGAAAACCTTTCCTGTTACCAAACATTGAACAAAGGGGAACCCCATTTGGGATTGGGACCCATGGTTTAAGATGCAGTGGGGTAGAGGACCTCCCTGGTTATCTCAAAAAATTTACAATCCCACCATTTCTACAGAATTATTTTGTGCGTAATATTGCATGCAGAGAAATCTAATCTTTCCTTTTTAACTTTGTTTCCTCCCATTTAGACCCAACAAGACAGACACCAATGTTTTGGAAAATGGACATTTAAAGCACAATGAAGACAATGACATCAGCATACAGACAAAAACTACTCGGTTCTAAGTTGGCCCTTTGAACAGAAGCAATATGCCATGAAAGAAAGACAGCAGATGCATTGGTGGAAATTTATCATTGCCACAGTGTGGACAAGAGATATATATCTCATTGCAACAGTGTGGACCTCTCTGCCCCGGAGTGTGGTGGAGGCTCCTTCTTTGGAGACTTTTAAATAGAGGCTGGATGGCCACCTGCTGGGAGTGATTTGAATGCTGTTTTCCTGCTTCTTGGCTGGGGGTTGGACTGGATGGCCCATGATGTCTCATCCAACTCTATGATTCTATATAGAGTTGTCATTCCATATCCACAGATTCAGCATCCATGGATCCAACCAACCATAGCTTGAAAATACCACTCCCCACAAATATATTCTTTGAATTTTGCCATTTTATATTAGGGAACAGCATTTAACGATGTAGTTGTATATATTGGGACTTGCGCGTCCATGGATTTGGGTATCTACAGGGGTGACCTGGAATCACACACCAGTAAATATCAGGGACATACTGTATATACCAATTACACCACCAACAGCACCACCCTGCTTTCTTTGAGGTTTTTGGTTTTACTTTCAAGAAAACCATTAGCAAAATGTAGTATTGGGTTGTTGTGAGTTTTCCACACTGTATGGCCATGTTCCAGAAGCATTCTCTCCTGACATTTCACCTCCATCTATGGCAGGCATCCTCAGAGGTTATGAGGTCTGTTGGAAACTAGGAAAATGGGGTTTATATATCTGTGGAAGGTCCTGGGTGGTAGAATGAACTCTTGTCTGTTTGAGGTAGACGTGAATGTTGCAATTGGCCAAAATGTAGTATTATCTTTCTGTTTTGAGGGACATTGTTCTGACATATGTAATCCTGGAATTTGGATTTCAGGGACAGAAACACCAGGAGAGAATGCTTCTGGAACATGGCCATATAGCTCAGAAAACTTACAGCAACACAAAAAGCTTATCACATGCTTTACCAAACAGCCAACCCCAGGATTTTATAGGGTGACACTATGGCAATTAAAATGGAATCAGTGCTAAAATTGTGAAATGCAAATGAGCCCTCATTTTACTAATTGCCTTTTAAAACCATCTTGAGTTCTGCGAATGCAGTGTATATCTACACTCATGTAATAAACAGTATGGTTGAGCTCCAAACCCATTGTGTTGAACATCACTGTTATGTGACCAATTTGTGTACCTGCCAGTGTGCTTGCTGGTTGTCTCATTAGACCATGGAAAATACAAAGCAGCTGCTTCTGTAATTTTGCCATCAGGTGATATGCTGAAGGCATTGACAACTAGTTATGCACCACCTAAAAATACATAATGGCATGGCTGGAATCCTTTTTGGTATCTCCAGCTAGAATTGACCCATGAGCAAATGCTGAGTCAACATGAGATCCAGTCCTTCTACTTTTCTCTATAAGAGTGATTCTCAAACTCTATTTTGGACTTCAACCTATAGTTGAAGTCCAAAACAGACTTCTGCTTTGCCCCACACTGCCCAACAATCAGGAATTCTTGGAGCTGAAGTCCAAAACACCTGGAGGACCAGAGTTTGGGAGACACTGCTCTAGATGGAACTACTGATAGGATTTAGACTCATGTGAAATCATGACAACAGCATTCCACTAATTCAGCCATGAGCTAAATACATCTATTGCCCCAACTGGGACTGCCTTCCACCTGGAAACCAATGCCCTCACTGTGGGAGAACATGCAGGTCAAGAATAGGGCTCCACAGTCACCTACGTACCCACCACCCGTACACCGATCTTGGAAGACAATCCTACTTGGACAATGAGGGATCGCCTAACCTAACATCTATTGCACAACAACCAAAAAACAAAGCTTTGTCTGCCTGTGAAAGGGAACATACACAGGTGTATATGATACCAGACTCTGTTGGTCCCAGACTTTGTTCTGACAGGTGTTTAATTCCCAAAAGCCCCAGCCAAATTGGCCAGCTTTTAGGAATTTTTGAAGTCCCAAACACTGAAGTTTGGGAAGCACTGATGTCATGCATGATTATTTACACCAGGAATGGACATCTTTAGATCTTGGGGAGTCACTTCTTTTGGTTTCATCCACTGCTGAGATGTGTCCTCCAAGAACTTCTCTGAAATGGAAGCCAAACCTTGCCTGCCCTGAAAGCAATTCAGTGAGGACTGAGCATGCTCAGTAGTTGTAGATTGTTGAGCATCAGTTGGACATAGGAATGGAATACTGTGGGAATGGGCAGCGGAATACATTGAATTGGCATAGTCTACATGGGAGGCCCTGTTTTAGGGTAAGAATATATTGGAACATTTCTTACAATAGAGTTTTGCAGAGTAAATAAGTATAACAGGCATATATAACTCTGGATATATAGCATGGCTGTACTTACAGTTGGAAACAGGAAACCACTGGTAAGAGCAAACTCTACTGAAATGATTTACTTCTGCTGGAGGCGATCATAGAATTGTGTTGGAAGATCTCAAAAATTCCCAGAGAGCTTTGCAGCTTCCAAAGACTATTTACAACCCACATTTCTTTTCCTGTGCAAAATTCACACTTGGTTGCTTTGGGTAAGAAATTTACTATGCAGAAAAAAATGGTACTCCCTGTGAAGAAAGTTCTATTATCTACAAAAAAAGATCAACCACAAACATATTGTGTGTCATCACTGGTCCAGGATTGTTCTCATCAGGGTTTCTCAACATAGAATCATAGAATCTATGATTTTATGAGTTGGAAGAGATCTCGTGGGCCATCCAGTCCAACCCTGCCAATCAGCTTCCGAGGACAATTCAAAGTGCTGGTATTGACTTATAAATCCCTAAATGGTTCCGGCCCAATTTATCTGTCCAAATAGATTCTCCCCTATGAACCATCAAGGTTGTTAAGATCTTCTGGAGGGGCCCTGCTCTCAGTCCCACCTCCTTCGCAATTGCGTTTGGTGGGAACGAGGGACAGCGCCTTCTCGGTGGTGGCCCCTCGGCTCTGGAACTCCCTCCCAATGGATATTAGATCTGCCTCTTCCCTCCTAACTTTTAGAAAGCTGGTAAAATCATGGCTTTGGGATACTGCATTTGCAGAATGATGATTGAGTCAATAACTGCTGACCTACTGGTGGATGGCGATAAATTTGTGATTTCACTCTGACGGACTGACTTTTTTGTAATTTGTATGAATTCTTTTTAATGTATATATGTTGATGATGTATATTTGCTTTATCTTACTGTATTGAATCCTCTGTTGTTAGCCGGCCTGAGTCCCTCTCTGGAGGTCGAGAAGACCGGGTTATAAAAACTCTAAATAGTAATAATAATAATAATAATAATAATAATAATAATAATAACCCCTTGCCAAAAAGCAGGAAAATCACACTTGTGAAACATTTTTTGACCATTTTTGGAATATTTTTCAGTATTTGGCCCATTCCTAAGAGGGATTGCCAAGGACCTTTGATAGTCTTCCTCCCGAAAGTCCACGAGCAGATAATTTCTGTATCCAGCAGATATAGCAGTTATGTAGCCTTCATGATATTGTTCAACTCATCGCCAGGAGAGCAAAGCATGAATAATGCTAGGAGAATGACACACTTCCCATCTCTGGTGCTATGTTGTGCAGGAATTACGGAAGCTATAATCCAACAGCTTTGGTTTCGAGGAGGCTGTTGTGCAGATTTCCTTTGAAGAGCAGGGCTAAGAGTTGGTGGCAGGAGAAAGCAAAACCTTCCTTAGAAGCAACAGGTTTGTCCTGTCTCCAGAGCACAGTGGCCTTTCTGTACTCTGAAGGCTTGCTTTGCTTCACCTACATAATTACTACCATGACAAGCCCTTAATTAGTTAGCAGGTGAAGATTTTAGCGGCCAATCCCCATCCATGATGCAAAGGCTTTCATCATGCAGTGTGTCCTTTTGGCTCAAAGGCATTCTGTTCTGTGTAAGGAAGGAGAATAACAAGGAGTTGGATAGCATCTGGAAGACCAACAGATTTATCGTACAACTAGCCGTCCCCTGCCAGGCGATTGCTGTGGCCCAGTCTGTTGATCTGGAAAATAAAGTAATGAGAAAGTGTTGGTTTCTAATATATGCAATTTCTTTATGCTTGTGGGTAAATAGCACTTCTTGCTGTTTCTTTGTCAGTATTGATGTGGAGATTGTCTGGTTTGCCTACTCTGGAACATGCAACATATAATTGTCTCTCAACAAAAGATTTTCCCAGGCTCAGCCAGGCCTTCAAATGCTAATGAAGGTGGTCAGTTGAAACATTCACACCTAGCTCCAGCAGAGAAAAGCTCTTTGCCCCACCCCAGCCATTCCACAGATATATAAACCCATTGTCCTAATTCCAACAGACCTCACTACCTCTGAGGATGCTTGCCATAGATGCAGGCGAAACGTCAGGAGAAATGCCTCTAGAACATGGCCCTATAGCCTGAAAAAACCCACAAGAACCTAGTGATTCCAGCCATGAAAGCTTTTGACAATACATTTATAATTGTCTTATTTAGGGGTTCCTTTCAAATCTATGATACTATATCTCTCTGTGTGTGAATCATATCGACCTATCTATATCTATGGCTGGATGGCTCTTTGTCAGGAGGGCTTTGATTACGTTTTCTTGCCCTGGTGAAGGGAGTTGGACTGGATGGCCTTAAGTATTTTCTGTTGGTCATGGGAGTTCTGTGTGGGAAGTTGCCCCAATTCTGTCATTGGTGGGGTTCAGAATGCTCTTTGATTGTAGGTGAACTATAAATCCCAGTAACTACAACTCCCAAATGTCAAGGTCTATTTTCCCCCAAACTCCATCCGTGTTCATATTTGGGCATATGGAATATTCTGTGCCAAGTTTGGTCCAGATCCATCATTGTTTGAGTCCACAGTGCTCTCTGGATGTAGGTGAACTACAACTCCCAAACTCAAGGTCAATGCCCACCAAACCCTTCTAGTGTTTTCTGTTGGTCATGAGTCCTGTATGCCACCTTTGGTTCAATTCCATCATTGGTGGAGTTCAGAATGCTCTTTGATTGTAGGTGAACT